GAGATGAAAAAGAAGAAATCATCACTGACATCTCACAAATGCAATGAACCATTAGGGACTATTTTGAAAACTTACACTCCAATAAGGTGGAAAACAAAGAATAAATGGATACATTTCTATACAAATACAATCTACCAAAACTGAATCAAGAGGCCATAGGACACCTAAACAGATGAATAACTTGTAATGAGATAGAAGCAGTAATAAAAAGCCTTCCAGCAAATCAAAGCCCAGAACCAAATGGATTCTCATCTGAATTTTACCAGACCTTTAAAGAACTACTGCCAATATTTCTCAAGTTATTTCATAAAATTGAAAGTGACTTTATAAATTTTATTCTTCATAAAGTTAAAATTGACTTCCAAATTCATTCTGTGAAGCCGGTATCACATTCATACCAAAACCAGATAATGAGACTTCAAGGAAAGAAAAACTATAGACCAATGTCCCTGATGAATTGTGGTACAGAAATACTTAATAAAAATTATTAAATCTTGTTCAACAACATATTAAGAAAATGTACACCATAACCAAGTTGGTTTTATTCCAGTAATGTAAGGATGGTTTAATATATACAAAATAATAAATGTAATTCATTACATGGTTAGAATTAAGGACAAAAATTAGTCATCTTAGTAGATGCAGAGAAGTCCTTTGACCAAATTCAGCACCAATTCATGATAAAAACACTGAAAAAACTAGGATAGAAGGAATCTACCTTAACATCATAAAGACTATATGGGGGTGGGAGGAGGCAACCTCATAATAAATGGGGGAAAACAAAACATTTCCTTTAAAATCTGGGACAAGACAAGGATGTTCACTCTCACCACTTCTAATTAATATAGTGCTAGAAATTCTAGCCAGAGCAATTAGGCAAGAAAAGGAAATAAAAGGGATAAAAATAGGAAAGGAAGGAATCAAATTATCACTGTTTGCTGATGATTTGATTCTTTACCTAGAGATCCAAAGGATTCCACCAAAAGACTGCTAGAGCTAATATACAAATTTGGCAAGGTAGCAGGTTACAAATCAACATACAAAAATCAATAGCTTTCCTGTATACCAACAGTGAAGCTGGTGAGAAAGAAATGGAATGGGGTTGTGGCTCAGCTGTAGAGTCCTTGCCTAGCACGTGCAAAGTTCTGGGTTTGATCTTCACCACATAAAAATAAATAAAATAAAGATATTGTGGCCAACTACAATATATATATTGTACAATATATATATTGTTCCATATATATATATATATGGAAAACAATTCCATTCACACTAGCTTCAAAAAATAAATAAAATACCTAGGAATAATTGAAGACCTCAAAAGATGGAAAGGCCTCCCATGTTCATGAATAGGCAGAATTAATGTTAAAATGACCTTACTATCAAAAGCAATATACAGATTCAATGCAATCCCCATCAAAATACCAATGACATTCTTCATAGAACTACGGGGAAAAATAGTCCTAACATTTAGAAGAGTAAAAGACCCAGAATAGCCAAAAACAATTTTAAACCAGAAAAGCAATGCTGGAGGTATCACAATACTTGACTTAGAGTTATACTATAAAGCTATAGTAGCAAAAGCTGCATGATATTACATAAAACAGAAACATAGGGCTGGGGTTGTAGCTCAATGGTAGAGCACTTGTCTCGCATATGTGAGGCACTGGGTTCGATCCTCAGCACCACATAAAAATAAAGATTAAAAAAAAAGACACATAGATGAGTAGTACACAATAGAAGAAACAGAGAAACCCACACATCTATAGTCATCTGATCCTTGACAAAGATGCTAAAAACACACATTGGAGAAAAGACAGCTTTTTAACAAATGGTGCTGGAAAAACTGGTTGTCCGTATGTAGAAGAATGAAACTGGACCCTTATCTCTCACCCTGCACAAAAATCAACTCAAAATGAATCAAAGACCTAGGAGTTAGAATAGAAACTATGAAACTCCTAGAAGAAAATACAGGGTCAACACTCTAGCATATAGGCTTAGGCAATGACTTTCTTATTAAGACCCCTACCTAAATCTCCGGAAATAATGCCAAGAGTTAATAAATGGATGACATTAAATTTAAAAGCTTCTGAAAAGCAAAAGAAACAATTATGAAGAGAGAACCTATAGAATTGGAGAAAATTTTTGCTAGCTACTCTCTGACAGCATTAATATCTAGAATATATATATATATATATAAAGAACTCAAAACACATTACAAAAAAAAATCCAATGACCCAATTAATAAATGGGAAAAAGAACCAGACACTTCTGAAAAGAAGAAATACAAATAGCCAACAAATATATTTTTTAAATGTTCAACATTGTTAGCTGCTATGGAAATGCAAATCAAAACTACATTGAGGTTCCATCTCACACTAGTCAGAATTGCAGTCAACAGAATACAAATAATAAATGCTGGAAAAGATATAGAGAAAAAGGAACACTTTTATGTTCTTGATGGAACTGTAAATCAGTACAACTACTAGGAACCAGTGTGGAGGTTCCTTAAAAGACTAGGTATGGAACTGCCATATGACCCACCTATATCACACCTCGGTATTTAGCCTGAAGAATTAAAATAAGCATACTATGATGATATATGTATACTCATATTTACAGCAGCACAGTTCACAATAGCCAAACTTTGAATCCAGTCTTGGTATCTATCAGTGAATGAATGGGTAAAGAAAATGTACACAACAGAGTTTTGTGCGGCCATAAAGAAAAATGAAATTATGGCATTTGTAAGAAAATGGATGGAACTAGAGACCACTAACCACTATGTTAAGTGAAAGTCAAATTCAGGTCAAGGGAGGTATGTTTTCTCTCATGTGGAAGCTAGAGAGGAAAAAGGAAAAGAAAGGTACTGGTGTATCTCATGTAAATCAAAGGGAGATCAGTGGAGGAAAGGGGCCAAGGCTTACAGCCTAGGGGTACAGCTACACAATATTTATCAAGTAAAATAATAGCATCTAGTTAACTGGCAAGAGCTACAGAAATAAGAAAGGGGAGGACTGAGTGTAGGAGGGAAGGAAATATGAAGCAGGTACAAAAAAGAAAGGAAAAAATTGGGATAAGGAAAATTACAATTTCAGATAAATTGGCCAGTTAGCTCTAATGGAGGAGACAACTGTTCTTATTTTTTATACATATTTTTAACATATAATATTAATTTTATTGTCTATGTCATTGATTTTCCTTTAACTCCCCCTTTAACTGCTAAAATAAAAATGCTTCAAAAAAGAAAAATGAAGGGAGCATCTTAGTCCCTTTTTGCCCTTCTGTTCCTTCTACCATGTGAAGACACAGCATTCTTCCTCTTCAGAGGATGCAGCAAGAAGTGCCAGTTTTGAAGCAGAGAGCCCTTGCCAAACACCCCAGGTTATAAGCTCCAAGAGGGAAAGGATTCGGTCTGTTTTTTCCCCATATTTTTTATTGGTGAATTATAGTGGTACATAATGATGGAATTTGTTGTTGTTACATATTAGTACATGCACACAATACAGTAATATAATTTGACCAATATCAGTCTCCATCACTTCCCTCCTCCCTTCCCATCTCCTACTCCTTGGTCCTTTCCTATAAGGGAAGTGGAATATATATATATATATATATATATATATATATATATATATGATAAAGAAAATGTACACTGAGTACATATACATATGAATATATATATATATATATATATATATATATATATATATATATATATATAACAGAAGAAAAGAAAAAGAAGGAAACTACAGACCAATATCCCTGGTCAACATAAATACAGAAATTCTTAAAAAAAAATGGAATCTGATAGCACATAAAAAATATTACAATAGGGGTTTTTTTGTGTCCTGCAATTTCATAGCCTATATCATACTGAATGTGGAAAAGATGAGTTTTCTCTAAAATTAGGAACAAGACAAGGATATCCGCTTCCACCTCTTGTTCAATATAACATTGGAAGTCTTAGCTAGAGTAATATAAGAGAAGGAAATAAAGGGGATGTCTGCTGATAACATGATTCTATATATAGAAAAACCTACAAACTGCTTCAAAACTGATCAACAAATTCAGTAAGGTTGCAGGACACAAAATCAACAGAAAAATCAGTAGCTTTTTTAATATCCAATAACAAAATTGGTGAGAAAAAGATCAAAATATCAGCCCCATTCACGGTAGCTACCAAAATGGGAGGAAACTCACCTAGGAATAAATTTAATCAAGGACATTAATTACTGCTACAATGAAAATTACAGAACACTGAAAGAAATTGAAGAGGATGCAAAGAATGGAAAGATATCCCATCTTCATGGATTTAAAGAATTAATATTGTTAAAAATGACCATATAACCCAATCAGTTTACAAATTTGATGCTATTAATTTACTGTCAAATTACTAATGACATTCTTCAAAGACAAGGAAAAGACTCCTAAAATTTGTATGGAACCACAAAATACCCCAAAGAGCCAGTGCAATCCCAAGCAAAAATAACAGACTGGAGGGGTCATAATACTTGACTATGAAACATACTATAAAATGACAGTAACCAAAATCACATGGTGCTTTCATAAAAGCAATCACATTTTTTCACAAAATCAAAGAATATACATTGAAGAAAGTCTCCTCAACAAATGACGCTGCAAAAAATATGTATCCATTGGTAGAAAAAAGAAACTAGATTCCTATATCACTCACTACATACAAAAACCAACACAAAATGGATCAGAGACAAGACTCAAGACTGAAACCACTAGAAGAAAACATAAGGGAAATGCTTCAGGACATTAATCTCAGCAAAGAGTTTTTTGGATATGACCACAAAAGCACAGGCACCAAACCCAAAAATGAACAAATGCGATTCAAACTAAAAATATTGTGTATAGCAAAGGAAACTCAACAAAATGAAGAAACAACCTGAAGAATGAAGGAAAATATTAGCAAATCATTCATCTGTTAAGTGAGTAATTTCCAGGGTATATAAGGAACTCAAACAACTTGATAGTAAAACACAAATAATTTAATTTAAAAATGAGTGAATTACCTGAATAAGCATTTCTCAAAAGAGAATCACAATGTCCATATAAAATATAAAATTTTTTTAGTGTTCAGCATCACTAATCATCAGGGAAAGGCAAATCAAAACCATGAGAGATTATGTCACCCCGGTTAGAATAGCTATTTTCAAAAAGACAAATAACAAATGCTGGCGAGGATGCAAAGGGAAATTCTCAGACACTGTTGGTGGAAAAATAAATTAGTATTGCCATTTATGGGAAACAATATGGAAATGCTTCAAAAAATTAGAAGTAGATCTACCACATGATCCACATGTCCCGTAGTAATAAAGAGGCATCTGCACTCATGTTTATGGTAGCACTATTCACAAAATCCAAGATAAGGAATCAACCTAGGTATTCATCAGTGGATGAATGGATAAAGAAAATGTGGTATACATATACCATGGAATGTTATTCAGCTATAAAGAATGAAATTCTGTTGACAAGAATGAATTCTGTGCAGCAACAATGAGTGGATCTAAAGGATTTTAAGTGAAATAAGTTAAGCAAAGAAAGACAAATACCCTAAGTTCTCATTTATATGTGTAAAGCTAAAAAGTTAATTTCATAAAAGTAGAGGATATAATAGTGTTTACAGAGCCTGGGAAGGATGTAGGGGAAGGAGGGATGGAAAGAGCATAATGGTTAGCCAGTATAGGGGTGGAGCTGGATAGGAGGACATTAGGATAAATAGAAGTTGACAATTAATTAAATATTTCCAAGTAGTTATTAGAAAGGAATTTGAACATTCTCAGCCAAAAGAAATGAAAAATGTCTGAGGTAATAGATATGTCAACTGATCTGCTTATTACACAATGTAATGTGTTAAGAGGTCACATAGAACCCCATAAGTAGGTACAATTACTGTCAATTAAAAAATATGTTTTTAAAAAAGTATGTTAGTTTCCAAAAATTAGGGGATTTTCCAGATATCTTTTTTGGGAAATTTAAGGCATTAGGATTGAAACCCAGAGTCTCACACATGCTAAATAAATCCATAATCTTACCACTAAGCTACACTCTCAGCCCCAACTTTTTCAGATATCTTTGTTATCAATTTCTAACTTAATTCCATATTGGAAGCAAATCATCTTATATTGTAAAATGCATAACCTGGAAGCTAGTGTTAGTCCCTCTCTTCTAAGAGTTTCCTTGGTTAAATTTAGCCTCACACAAACTTTTTTGCCCCACACAAAACTGGAGGACCATCTCTAAGCTTGCATAAAAGCTTGGGAGTGGAAGAGTAGAGAACAAGCTGAGTCTGGAGGTGGAGGCTGTTTTAACATTTAGCAAGTTCACATAGAGCAAACAAGAACTGGGCAATTGACACTTGAGGAATCTGTCTTTTCTAACCTCCACAGACATTCAGAAAACAGTTTCTACAATAGAAAAATAGTCATGGAAAACTCTTGAACTCTGACCATCTACTAGCCAGCTTGAATCAAAAGAAACGTCAGATACCTAAACTCATTCCATTTTATAACAGTCCTCAAAGAGGAGGTCCTCAAAAAAACCTAACCAGGGTTTACCAAAAAACCATCCATGCCCTCCAAGAATGATGCCAGTGTCAAACCACAAATATTCCTCAAGGAGGATATTATTCTGCCAGGGCTTGCCAAACCACCAGTGTCCCCTAAGAGGGATATAAAATCACCAGTGTCCCCCAGGGGTAATGTCAGCTGGGGAGATCAGGAATAGCACTTCCTGGAGGGTGGTTGGGCACATAGGTGTGGATGACCCAGACACTTGAATGTGTGAGGGAAAGCAGGACCTAGCTCTAACTTGAGGGCAAATCACAAACACTCCTATCTCACACTGATGTGTCTCTAAGCACTCAACCCAGCTATAACCCAGGAGATTCCCCATTCCCGAATCACCTCTGCCTGAAGCTCCTATCTCCAGACCTACCCCAGTCATGCCCAAAATTGGTTGTCTCATCCTGGATGCAAAGCAACATTTTGCAAACACCCACTGGACATAAGCATTGTTTGGGGGGTTCTTGATATGGCTTGATGAGCCAAAGAGAATTGTCTGGCAGGGTGCAAGGACCATTCTGGTTCCCCTGGTCCTAGTTAAGACCCAGAAGACGGTTCCTCCTCTAATCTCCCAGCCCACGCACAATGAAGTCCCCACATCTCAGACTTGATGTCCAGCACTTTCCTCCAACCCACTGTGGTGCCATCTGATCCATTTAAGACACTTTCAAGCATACCTTGAACTAAAGCACTCCAAAATCAAACCCAGAGCAGCTTGGCCAGGCAGCCACAGACCAAGGAAGTAGCACACTTTTTTTGTAGATCTCTGCCCCTCCCCTAGCAAAGACACTGTAGGACCAGAGGACAAAACATGTACTTTTATGCCCTGAGATGATCAGGGAGACTTTAGCAGGACTCGGCACTCAACATTGGAATATGCAAAAGTTGTCCATGTTCCTCACCCCAGCCAAGGATGCTGCACGTAGGGGAAGTGACCTAGTCCCTTGAGTTTCAGAGTATCCTATTCAATGCCTTGATTTGGTTGTTCCCAGTATGGAGAGCTCTCAATTCCTCTGCCCCCACAGTACACAGAAAGTCAAAGGGGGTCACGTGATAGATCCAGTCTGAGACAGGAGAGGAACTGAAGGAGCACAGGTTCTTGCACTGGGAAGACCACAGCAAGCTAGGATGAGAGCTAACACAGGCGCCATGCACAGGTGGAGGGAAGTTGACCTCACTGGGAGATAGTTCAGAGCCCCAATTGGTGTGGTTTGCGGTAGATGGCCAGCCCAGCCTCCATGCCTGGATGGCAAAGGTCCTCCCAGCTTCAGGAGTAATGGATGGGCCTGAGCCAGCTGCTCCTTGGAGAGCAGGCACAGAGCCAGCACCTCCTTCCACTGTTTACTTGCCACTCCTGGAGCCCCGCTGCTTGCTCATGGCTGTGAGCATCTGGCTGATGTAGGAAGTAAGGAGGTCATCCATCTTGTAGCCCTGGGAGCAGGGGTGGGAAAATAAGCAGAGCACAAAGTGAAACCAAGCCCAGCCATTTAGACCCAGACAGCTCCTAGGACACTCTGCAGTGAACAGAACCAGAACCAGGACCAAGGCAAATCCTGTCCCACTCAGCATTCAGTCTTTCCATTGACACAATTGAGGGTTTGGAGTTATCCAGCCAGATGACTCAGGTTCTAAGCTGTATGATCCCACAATAAGCATGTAGCCTGTGGTCCTTCACATCCTGGATACCTTGAAAGTTTGAGTTTGGTCCAAGAGGCCTCAGTGCTAACGGTTCTACTGTCGAACTCAGGGCAAACAGGCTACAACTACAGGCTCAATCCCCAGATAATGAAAAAGAAGTTGAATGAGGGATCTAGTCCTCAGCCCCAGATTAAGACCCCAGGCTTAAGCTAGCCTCAAACTGAACTGATTACCAACCTGACCCTTGACCCTGACCCCAGGCCACCCCCTACATTCCTGTTGTAGGGGAAGAGTTCTCACCAGTGACGTCTCACAGAGCAGTTTGCTTCCGCGCACCAGGTTCCCAATGGTGATGTGGAAGTAGGTGTTGCCGCTGCTCCAGTTAGAGATCTTGGTGAAAGGGTGAGTAGTCAAGATGTCCTGGGGAGACCCGCGACAGACCGGCGGATCAGGCCCAGCGGCCTGCCGGCGTGGTACACACGTCACCCCAATTGGAGTAGGGGCAGAGCAGAGCCGCCGCCCGCGCCCAGAACAGGCCCAGCGACCTGCCGGTGTGGTAGTCACGACACCCCAATTGGAGTAGGGGCAGAGCAGAGCCGCCACCAGTGCCCGAAAGGTAGGCAGACCTGCAACCGACCAGCGGAACAGGCCCAGTGGCCTGCCGGCGCGACAGACACGTCACCCCATTTGGAGTAGGGGCAGAGCAGAGCCGCCGCCCATGCCCGCAAGGTAGGCAGACCTGCGACCGACTGGTGGAACAGGCCCAGCGGCCGGCCAGGGTGGTAGGCACGTCACCCCAATTGGAGTAGGAGCAGAGCAGAGCCTTCGCCCGCACCCGGAACAGGCCCAGTGGTCCGCGGGTGTGGTAGACAAGTCACACCAATTGGAGGAGGGGCAGAGAAGAGCCGCTGCCCGCGCCTGCTAGGTAGGCAGACCTGCAACCGACCGGCGCATCAGGCCCGGTGGCCTGCCAGCGTGGTACACACATCACCCCAATTGGAGTAGGGGCAGAGCAGAGCTTTCGCCCACGCCCGGGACAGGCCCAGCGGCCCGCTGGCGCGGTAGTCACGTCACCCCAATTGGAGTAGGGGCAGAGCAGAGCTGCCGCCCGCGCCTGCAAGGTAGGCAGACCGCCGCCCGACCCTGCAAGGGAGACTTTTCAACTATACAAGAGCAATATAAATATATAGGGGGAAAATTTTTCTAAAACACAACAGTTTCACCAAGCAGAAAGAAACGCAAGCAGTATGAAAAGACAAGGAAAGAAAGGACCATAAGCAATGCAGGTCAACTCAACTTTAGAAGAGGTAACAGCTGCAGCAGATGGAATGTCAGATAAAGAATTCACGATATACATGCTTCAGATGATCTGGAGTCTCAAGGAAGACATTAGACAGCAAAATCAGACAATGAAAGATCACTTTGACAATGAATTACACAAACAAATCCAGGAAGCAAAAGATCAACTATACAGGGAGATAGAGGTTATAAAAAACAAACAAACAGAAATCCTAGAAATGCAGGAAGCAATAAACCAACTTAAAAACTCAATTGAGAATACTACCAGCAGAGTAGAACACTTAGAAGATAGAACATCAGACAATGAAGACAAAGTATTTCAATTTGAAAAGAACATAGACAGCTCAGCAAGACTGTTAAGAAACCATGAGCAGAACATCCAAGAAATATGGGATAACATAAAGAGACCAAACTTAAGAGTCATTGGGATACAGGAAGGTATAGAGGTCCAAACCAAAGGAATGAGAAATCTATTCAATGAAATAATACGAGAAAACTTCCCAGACTTGAAGAATGAGACAGAATCCCAAATCCTAGAGGCCTACAGGATGCCGAATGTGCAAAATCATAAGAGATCCACACCTAGACACATTATAATGAAAATGCCCAACATACAGAATAAGGAGAGAATTTTAAAAGCTACAAGAGAAAGGAAGCAGATTACATTTAGGGGTAAGCCAATCAGGATAACAGCTGATCTTTCAACACAGACTCTGAAAGCTAGAAGATCCTGGAATAACATATTTCAAACACTGAAAGAAAATGGGTTCCAACCAAGAATTGTGTTTCCAGCGAAATTAAGCTTCAGGATGGAAGATGAAATTAAAACCTTCCACGATAAACAAAAGTTAAAAGAATTTGCAGCTAGAAAACCATCTCTTCAAAACATCCTCGGCAAAACATTACAGGAAGAGGAAATCGAAAATAACAATGAAAACCAACAGTGGGAGGTAGGACAGTAAAGGGGGGGGGAAATAATCAAAGAGGAAAACAAACCATGTTTAGTAACATAAATAAACAAATATGGCTGGAAAAACAACCCATATCTCAATAATGACCCTAAATGTTAATGGCTTAAACTCACCAATTAAGGCTAGTAGAATGGATCACAAAACAAGACCCAACAATATGCTGCCTTCAGGAGACACATTTGATAGGAAAAGACATACATAGGCTGAAGGTGAAAGGTTGGGAAAAATCATATCACTCATATGGACTTCAGAAACAAGCAGGAGTGTCCATACTCATATCAAATAAAATAGATTTCAAGCCAAAGTTAATCAAAAGGGATAAAGAGGGACATTACATACTGCTCAAGGGAACCATACACCAACAAGACATAACAATCATAAATATATATGCCCCAAACAATGGTGCAGCTATGTTCATCAAACAAACGCTTCTCAAGTTCAAGAGTCTAATAGACCACCATACAATAATCATGGGAGACTTCAACACACCTCTCTCGCCACTGGACAGATCTTCCAAACAAAAGTTGAATAAGGAAACTATAGAACTCAATAACACAATTAATAACCTAGACTTAATTGACATATATAGAATATACCACCCAACATCAAGCAGTTACACTTTTTTCTCAGCAGCACATGGATCCTTCTCAAAAATAGATCATATATTATGTCACAGGGCAACTCTTAGACAATATAAAGGAGTAGAGATAATACCATGCATCTTATCTGATCATAATGGAATGAAACTGAAAATCAATGATAAAAGAAGGAAGGAAAAATCATGCATCACTTGGAGAATGAACAATAGGTTACTGAATGATCAATGGGTTATAGAAGACATCAAGGAGGAAATTAAAAAATTCTTAGAGATAAATGAAAACACAGACACAACATATCGGAATCTATGGGACACATTGAAAGCAGTTCTAAGAGGAAAATTCATTGCTTGGAGTTCATTCCTTAAAAAAAGAAAAAACCAACAAATAAATGATCTCATACTTCATCTCAAAATCCTAGAAAAAGAAGAGCAAAACAACAGCAAAAGAAGTAGAAGGCAAGAAATAATTAAAATCAGAGCTGAAATTAATGAAATCAAAACAAAAGAAACAATTGAAAAAATTGACAAAACTAAAAGTTGGTTCTTTGAAAAAATAAATAAAATCGACAGACCCTTAGCCATGCTAATGAAGAGAAGAAGAGAGAGAACTCAAATTACTAGCATACGGGATGAAAAAGGCAATATCACAACAGACACTTCAGAAATACAGAAGATAATCAGAAATTATTTTGAATCCTTATACTCCAATAAATTAGAAGATAGTGAAGGCATCGATAAATTTCTTAAGTCATATGATCTGCCCAGATTGAGTCAGGAGGATATAGACAACCTAAACAGACCAATATCAATTGAGGAAATAGAAGAAACCATCAAAAGACTACCAACTAAGAAAAGCCCAGGACTGGATGGGTATACAGCAGAGTTTTACAAAACCTTCAAAGAGGAACTAATACCAATACTTTTCAAGCTACTTCAGGAAATAGAAAAAGAGGGAGAACTTCCAAATTCATTCTATGAGGCCAACATCACCCTCATACCTAAACCAGACAAAGACACTTCAAAGAAAGAAAACTACAGACCAATATCTCTAATGAACCTAGATGCAAAAATCCTCAATAAAATTCTGGCGAATCGGATACAAAAACATATCAAAAAAATTGTGCACCATGATCAAGTTGGATTCACCCCTGGGATGCAAGGCTGGTTTAATATACGGAAATCAATAAATGTTATTCACCACATCAATAGACTTAAAAATAAGAACCATATGATCATCTCGATAGATGCGGAAAAAGCATTCGACAAAGTACAGCATCCCTTTATGTTCAAAACTCTAGAAAAACTAGGGATAACAGGAACATACCTCAATATCGTAAAAGCAATCTATGCAAAGCCTCAGGCTAGCATCATTCTGAATGGAGAAAAATTGAAGGCATTCCCTCTAAAATCTGGAACAAGACAGGGATGCCCTCTCTCACCACTTCTGTTCAACATAGTTCTCGAAACACTGGCCAGAGCAATTAGACAGACGAAAGAAATTAAAGGCATAAAAATAGGAAAAGAAGAACTTAAATTATCACTATTTGCAGTTGACATGATTCTATACCTAGCAGACCCAAAAGGGTCTACAAAGAAACTATTAGAGCTAATAAATGAATTCAGCAAAGTGGCAGGATATAAAATCAACACGCATAAATCAAAGGCATTCCTGTATATCAGCGACAAATCCTCTGAAATGGAAATGAGGACAACCACTCCATTCACAATATCCTCAAAAAAAAATAAAATACTTGGGAATCAACCTAACAAAAGAGGTGAAAGACTTATACAATGAAAATTACAGAACCCTAAAGAGAGAAATAGAAGAAGATCTTAGAAGATGGAAAAGTATACCCTGTTCATGGATAGGCAGAACTAACATCATCAAAATGGCGATATTACCAAAAGTTCTCTATAGGTTTAATGCAATGCCAATCAAAATCCCAATGACATTCCTTGTAGAAATAGAGAAAGCAATCGTGAAATTCATATGGAAAAATAAAAGACCCAGAATAGCAAAAACAATGCTAAGTAGGAAGTGTGAATCAGGTGGTATAGCGATACCAGACTTCAAACTATACTACAGAGCAACAGTAACAAAAACAGCATAGTACTGGTACCAAAACAGGCGGGTGGACCAATGGTACAGAATAGAGGACACAGAAACCAATCCACAAAACTACAACTATCTTATATTTGATAAAGGGGCTAAAAGCATGCAATGGAGGAAGGATAGCATCTTCAACAAATGGTGCTGGGAAAACTGGAAATCCATATGCAACAAAATGAAACTGAATCCCTTTCTCTTGCCATGCACAGAAGTTAATTCAAAATGGATCAAGGAGCTTGATATCAAATCAGAGACACGCCGTCTGATAGAAGAAAAAGTTGGCTACGATCTACAGTCGGTGGGGTCGGGCTCCAAATTCCTCAATAGGACACCCATAGCACAAAAGTTAATAACTAGAATCAACAAATGGGACTTACTCAAACTAAAAAGTTTTTTCTCAGCAAAAGAAACAATAAGAGAGTTAAATAGGGAGCCTACATCCTGGGAACAAATCTTTACTCCTCACACTTCAGATAGAGCCCTAATATCCAGAGTATACAAAGAACTCAAAAAATTAGACAATAAGATAACAAATAACCCAATCAACAAATGGGCCAAGGACCTGAACAGACACTTCTCAGAGGAGGACATACAATCAATCAACAAGTACATGAAAAAATGCTCACCATCTCTAGCAGTCAGAGAAATGCAAATCAAAACCACCCTAAGATACCATCTCACTCCAGTAAGATTGGCAGCCATTATGAAGTCAAATAACAACAAGTGCTGGCGAGGATGTGGGGAAAAGGGTACACTTGTACATTGCTGGTGGGACTGCAAATTGGTGCAGCCAATTTGGAAAGCAGTATGGAGATTTCTTGGAAAGCTGGGAATGGAACCACCATTTGACCCAGCTATTCCCCTTCTCGGTCTATTCCCTAAAGACCTAAAAAGAGCATACTACAGGGACACTGCTACATCGATGTTCATAGCAGCACAATTCACAATAGCAAGACTGTGGAACCAACCTAGATGCCCTTCAATAGACGAATGGATAAAAAAAAATGTGGCATTTATACACAATGGAGTATTACTCTGCATTAAAAAATGACAAAATCATAGAATTTGCAGGGAAATGGATGGCATTAGAGCAGATTATGCTAAGTGAAGCTAGCCAATCCCTAAAAAACAAATGCCAAATGTCTTCTTTGATATAAGGAGAGTAACTAAGAACAGAGTAGGGACGAAGAGCATGAGAAGAAGATTAACATTAAACAGGGATGAGAGGTAGGAGGGAAAGGGAGAGAGAAGGGAAATTGCATGGAAATGGAAGGAGACCCTCAGGGTTATACAAAATTACATACAAGAGGAAGTGAGGGGAAGGGGAAAAATAATACAAGGGGGAGAAATGAATGACAGTAGAGGGGGTAGAGAGAGAAGAGGGGAGGGGAGGGGGGATAGTAGAGGATAGGAAAGGCAGCAGAAAACAACAGACACTAGTATGGCAACATGTAAATCAATGGATGTGTAACTGATATGATTCTGCAATCTGTATACGGGGTAAAAATGGGAGTTCATAACCCACTTGAATCAAAGTGTGAAATATGATATATCAAGAACTATGTAATGTTTTGAACAACCAACAATAAAAAAAATGTCCTGGGGAGCAGGATGGGCATAAAGCTGCATAGCATGGCTTCACTCTCCCTGGGTCCATCCCAGAGACACCTTTCACAGAAGGTCTCAGGTCCTCAAAGAGGGCCAGCTTTGCATGAAGCTGCTGTGAGAAGCAGGTGCCTTTGCCTCCTCGCCTTGGTTTGGACCAACCTGCTAGACACCCAGGGAAATCTGGGAAGTTGTTGGGCATTGGAGCCAAAATTAGAAACTTGGGCAACTTGACTGAACTGATACTGTGGGCCTGGCTGAGATGACCAGGGAGGGTGTAAGGAAGGAACCAAGAAGAAAACAGGGTGGAATCTTGGGAAATATCATATCCATGGGCCGAGTAGAGAAGAAACCCACAAAAGTATCTGAGAAAAAATGACCAAGAGAGAAAGGAGAACTGGGAATGTGTGGCACATGATGCCAGGGAACATAATGGTCATTAGTGTTCTTCACCAACTATCTAGGTGTACCCCTTCTGGGGAAATGGTAGGACTATGCTTCCTGGCCCTGGGGCAGGGCCACTCTGACCCATATACATGCATTTACCCCAGCACAGACTATCCTCCTGGCCAGTATGAGGACAGAACATTTTGGAAGTAGGAAGCATTTTATAGCACCCAATGATGCTGAGAGGCAAGGTAGACTAAAAGGAGTTAATGGGATTTGGTGGCAAGAATTTTATAACACCAGTGACTTGCAAGGCTGAGAAAGAAGGATTGCAAGTTCAAGGCCAGCCTGGGGAACTTAGGAAGACCCTGTCTCAAAATTAAAAGGGCTGAGGATGTAGCTTGGTGATAGAGTGCTTGCCCCAGCTCGTGCAAGGCCCTGAGTTCAATCCCCAATACCGCCATCCTTCCGCCCCCACCCCATCCCCCCAAAAAAAACCCCACCAAAAACTGTTAGAAACTCCAGGAGAGCAATTTTGGTGGAGTAAATGAGGGGTAAGGGTGTAGACAAGGCAACCAACCTTTCAAGATGCATGATGAGTAGTGCCGGTGAGTTGGGCCGGCAGAGGCTTGTGTCTGGGACTTTGGTTAAAGTGTAGGCAAAGCAGCTCCCTGCCCCCCACCCCACCTGCTTGCTCGCTCTTGTCCCTGCTCACCTTGGTTCTGGGATCAATGAGGCTGACCCCATACTTGTTGATAGCAATTAAGAGGATCTCAGGGAAGTTTGGCTCTGTAGTTTGCTAGAAAAGAAAGATAGAGAACCATCATACGGGGATCCAGAACAGGAAAAGCACTTGGAGATAGGAAAGAAGTGCCCTCAGCTGGAATAAAACCAACCTGGTTTGTGCCAGGGGTGAAGAGGTGCTGGTGGTCCTGCCATGACCTTGTGATTTCTGCTGCTGCCATGCTCCCAGTGCTGTCCCCACATCCCTCCTTGGGTCCCCAGCAGTGATTTCATCCCTCTCCCTCTCTAGGAGTCTTTGTTATGTCCTTCTCTCCTTCTCTCAGCCCAAAACGATCTTTTTTTTTTTTTTAATGATGGGATTGAACCCATGGGCACTTTACTACTGAGCTACATTCCCAGCCCCTCTTATTTTTTTTAATACCTTTATTTCACTTATGTATTTTTATGTGGTGCTGAGGATCGGACCCAGGGTCTCACACAGGCAAGGCGAGCGCTCTACCACTGAGCCCCAGCCCCAGCCCCTCTTATTTTATTTTGAGACAGGATCTTGCTAAGTTGCCCATGCTGGTTTCAAACTTGTAATCCTCCTACCTCAGCCTCCCCAGTCACTAGGATTACCGGCATGTGCCACTGTACCCAGCAAGGTCTTCCATCTTTAAAAAGCCCTCCTTGAACCTTCTACTGCCCCAGCTCCCACCTACCCCTCTGCTCCTTGCACAGCCAAGCTTCTCAAGAGCCTGCATCCTAGATGTGTGGCGGGATCATCCCTGCATCTCCTCATCCCAGCCTTTCCACCATTCTCCTGCTTCTGGTGATGACCCTCAGCTCCATCCTCCACCCTGTGACCAGAGGGGCCACCTGGCACTGTCATCCCTGTTCAAAACCCTCCAAACTCACTCCCCCTGCAAGAGGAAACCCAGCCCCCCATCCTGCTTGCCAGCTTGCCTCTCACTGCAGCCTGCTTGCCTATACCCCGCCACATGCAGCCCCTGGCATTTCCTGCCCAGACCTGAGTTCTCACACTTTTAGGCCTTTGCCCATGTGGGCTGCTTGCTAAAAGCACTCTCCTCAGGTCTCCCTAAAAAGGTCAGGAGGCTTCTCCAGTCTGGGTAGGGCTTCCCCAGCTCTGCCACCCAGGCAAGTACTCCACATGGTCACAGTCCACCCTCCATTACTCTGGCCTGACTTCCCTTCCAGGCTGAGCTTCTGGTTCCTCTGTCCTCAGGGCTGAACACTAGTCAAGACACCCCACTGGCTCGAGGCTAAAGGTGCATCCCTCCTTTCCCTGCCAGGGCAGTGTCCAAGACCATCACTGCTTCCCCCAGTCCTGGGGAGGAGTCTTGTCCCCTTCTTCACCTCTTCCTCTCCAAGGAACCCCCTGTGGCATACCTTCACCTCAAAGAAGGCGGAGCCAAAGGTGGGCCACTTGAAGATGAGCCTCAGGAAGGCCAGCTTGGCCTCCTCCTTGGATTTCCCTGCGTGTTTGTTGAAGTAGGCGACGATGGACTGCAGGGAGAGGGGGGTCAGGACAGAAGGCTCACAGCTCCCTGCCTCCTGCCGTGACCATCGTCAGGACCAGAAGTAGGACAGGCAGACCCGGGAGCCACTGGGGTCCCCCCATTATCCCAGCTCATGGACTTTTGATCTCCCTCCTCTCCCCAAGGCAGGCAGGCCAGAGGGGATCCAATAAAATCAGGTCACCCTGGTAACCAGGACAGGACAAATCACCACCATGGGGCCCCTGAATTCTTCCCATGGAAGATGAGAAGAGGCAGACTGGAGGGTGGCCTGATCACATCAGGAGCCACGAGAGGCACTCCCTAGGGTGCTGGCCAGCACCTGCCAACCTGCCCCCTGGGGTTCCTGGAGTCCACTTCAGGGGTCTCCCATTCCCACCGCCAGCTCCACGCTCACCCGCTTCCAGTCATCAGGCGAGATCTGCCGGATGAGGTCCTGGGGCACCAACTCTCTCAGCAGCTTGGGGATACTAGGGAAGTAGGACTTGTCCTCCTCAAACTTGACCCTGTAGATCAGTGCCCCCAACTGCAGCACCTCCTCCCGTGTGCACTTGTGGTAGCCTCGGAGATACTTGGGTAGCTCCTGCCAGAGACAGAGCCGGTGGCAGGCGTGGAGGGAGCTGGAGGAGGTGGACTCCTTCCCCACCACCCTAAGAAGGGGGCGCTCCTGCCTTACCCCCATATTTGGACCCACCATTTCTTCAGCCTCCACTGATCCTGCTTCCCTAGGGGAGATGTCATAGGACCAGGAGACAGCGAGTACGCCTCCAGGTTCGGTACTGTGTAGTTGGGAAGCACGGCCATACCAAAACACTGTCCCAGTTCCCCTTCTAACAGTCCAGTGAGAACAGAACTGCTTAAAAGTGAAGTTCAGGGTGAAACTGAACTTCAGCTCTCCTCTCTAGGCCTGTCCTCTCTTGGAAGAGCCAGTCAGTTTGGCCTCCTCCCATTGTGTTCCTTTGGTCCTGACTGATTTCTGTAGCGGCACCAGCCCTACCCCTTGAACTTCCAGACCCGGAACCAGAGCATCTGAGGAGGGAGAGTGGACCAAAAGCTGAGATGCAGCCTCTGAAGGGCCAGCACAGGAGCCTTAGGACTGTCCACCACACCTGGAGCCTTAGGACTGTCTTATCCACTGTGGGAAGGGCAGGGAATGAAGGATGGCCGGGAGATGCCCCACTGATCAGAGATGAGTCAACCACCATCTGTCCACTTCCCTGCCCACCCACACACCTACCGTCTACTCACCCATCCACCACTCACCCATTTATGGGTCTACCTACCCATGCAGCCACCATCCCATCCACTTCCCCATCTGTCCATGCATCCACCCACCAATATCCACCCGTAAATTCATTCAGCACTCACCCTTCCACCCATCCGTTCACTGAGTCACCAATTCACCCATTCAGCCACCCATCAGTCCAACGAACGCTTGTTGAGCATCTGCTATGAGTCAGGCCCTTTAAGCAACAACACTCACCCTACTCTCATGGAACTTGCAGTCTCAAGACAAGAGCAGGATTTAATACACACCAAACTGACGTATGGTTATAATCTGTGAAGGTACTGTTCACGGTGCTAGGAGAACATATAACAAAGTGATGTGATCCCACCGTGGGGACAGGGAATTCTTCAAGATAAGACATCTGAAAGCTCAGTCGGTAAGGGGAGGGATTGAGGGAAGAGTATTCCAGACGGGGTGACATGACAAAGGCCCTGCCAGACCTGAGACTCTGAAAAACTGTAGCTGCAGTGAATGGAGCCAAGGGGTGTCAAGTCCAAGAGGAGGCAGAGGCACCACCATGCAGGGCCCAGTCAGACTTTGGGGTGTACCTTAAGAGCAACCGGAGGCCCTGAAGAGGCCTGGAAAGCAGGAGGACTGTCTTGCGCACAGTGAACTGGGGGGAAACAAAACCAATGGGGGAGACCAGGGAGAGGCTGCAACCAGCCAAAGGAAGGAGGATGGTGACTGAGCCAGGTGGGCAGGTGGGGAGACCCAGCGGTGTCAGAGACAGTCCGGAGGTCAGATCATTAGGCAAGTGATTCAGAATGTGGGAGACAGGCAGTGGGAGAGGTCAAGGCTGACTCTTGGGTTTACACATTGCATTGGTGGAACTGGCAGGGAGAGGCAGATACCAGGTGCAAATGAGGGCAACCCTGCATCCCAGGCAGCGTGTCTCCACCAAGGCAACCCCCACCTCCTCCTCCTAGCAACCTGGTCTGTCTCTCCCACCAGAATGGTAAGCAGACCACAGCCCAGAAAGAGCACTGAACTGCAATCATGGAGCCCTGGGATCAAACCCCAGTCCTGTCTGCTGTGTGACCTTAACTACATCACTTGGCTTCTCTGAGTCTGTTTCTTTCTCTATAAAATAGAAACAACATGCCTACTTTTGGAGTTAACTGGAAGGAAAGGTGCCAGGTAAATATTAGAGGTCAACATGCAAGCTTCCCTCCTGACTCCCTGCATGCCTGTGCCAGAAAACATTTGCAGACTTGCCTAGAAGCACTGGACATGCTCTGTTGTAGCAGCAGAATCTTGAATTCAGAGAACAGGCAGGCACCGAAGGAGGGGCCTGAACAAGCAGGGAGCTCAGAGGAAGAGTGATCAAGCCATGACGGCTGGAAGATCAGGAGAGAGAGGGATCTGAAGTTAGGCCACTCCCTGGGCCCTGGATCCCAGGAAGCCCTGTAAGGCCGGCTATTTCGGGCCCCTCACCTGGCAAGGCCCACAGGACTCTGCTTCACAAGTACAGCCAGACTGTAGCACAGTAGCCCCAGGAGCAGAGAGGCCCTGGGCAGCTCACCTGGTAATAGTGGAAGATGGAATCAGCCATGGGGTCCTTGCCCGGCACCGTGGTGGTCCACAGCTTCTTCATGAAGAACACCTGGTAGGTGAGCGAGGGCACGACCCCTGCAGCACAGGGCAGCCCGTCACCCCGAGTCCCAGCACTGAAGGGTCCGTCCCCCACCCAACCCAGCCCCAAAAGAGGCCCTTGCTTGGGCTCCACCCAGCGGGCCTCACAGCACAGCCCTGAGCAGCACCTGCCCTCTTCCGGCCTCAGGTGACCCCAGGACCCAGCCTCATTACCATCCTTGATGGGCCGTGCTTTCTTTATCCAGTCTGTCAGGTGTCGCACAAAGTCAAAGAAGAAGTCATTCTCTGGGACGCTGATGACCTAGGGACGTGGCCGTCGTAGTCCATTCATTTCAGTTAAAGCAATACTGCGTTTTCCGACTTTCCTACCCAAGGCCTCTTATCCAGAAAAACTCCACTCCCTGTATCAACCCTGCCCTGCCCTGACTGCCTGGTCAGCGTCTGAAGAACACAGCCCTCTTCCTGCTGAGGGACAGTCACCCCATCCACTGCCTAGGCCCAGGGGAACATGGCCACAAATGAGGCCCAGTCCCCCTGCCTTGAACCTTCCAGCTTCTCCCACAGGCTCTGAGCTCTCTGGATGCAGAACCTCATCAGGGTCATCTCTGGGTCCTCAGTGTCTGGCACAGGGACAGTGGTGAGGTGAGAAGATAAATGTGGATGTACATAGATCCATTAGTGATCAACAGGAGAGAGCCCCCAACTCTGCCTGAGATGGTCAGAAAGTCTTCCCATGGAAGGGGAACTGCAAGACCTCCACGGACAGAGCTGGAGGGATGTGGGCTGTGCACCTGGATCTGAGTTCCTGATGTGTGACCTTGGATAAGTTACTTAACCTCTCTGAACTCTAGTTCTGGGATCTATTAGTCTATTTATCCTATCGACCCAAACGTGGACACCTATAAAAATTTTAAATATATAATTATGTAATAAAATTATACTACTTAATGTTGATTAATGTTAATTATTATAATTATGTATAGGCTCTAGATTATGATTTTAATGACCCTGTGTCAATTTCATTGAAATGTTGGCAGAGTGGAAAACTTGAGACTTCATGGGTTAAAGAGGGCTAATCATACTGCCCTTCAAGGGTTATTTCAGTGGTTAAATGGCCTCAGCATGGCAGCTGGTGTGTCCAGATCACAGACTGCCTGGGCAGATGGCCCCGGATGGTCTGAGGCCATGTGCGTTGGCTCCAAGGGAGAGGCTTTGGGGCAGCAGGGATGGCTGTAGGAAGGAGTGGGCAGAAGACACCTCCCCACGCGTTCCTGTGGTCCCAGAAAATCTCACAGCATTTGGGCAGGCAGGTGACAGGAAGAGAGCCGACGACCCACCTTGTCTGCAATTTTGACAAAGAGGCTGAATCCCTCGGAGGACTTGAGGAGCAGCCGAGCGGCGATGTTCTGGCAGAAGTCCTTGGCCTTGGTGCTCGACTCCACCTCAAAGGCCTGAGAGGGGAGTGCTCACTTAGCGCCTGCAGAGTGGGCCTGGCCTCTGGCTGCCCCTCTAGACCAAGCCCTGCCCTCCACAGGGCTTCCCCGGGGGTCCAGAGCTGGACATGGCATTTCAACAAAGGAAAAAGCAACTCCTTTTCAGTCCCTGGCTCTCTGGGAAGGACTTTCCGTGGCCTCCCAGCCCCAAGCCTGGCTGCAGGATCATGAGGGACAACAGAGCCAGGCCTCATGGATGGAGTGGACAGAGAGAGACCCGAGGAAGAGGAAAAGCAAATTCCAAAATGGGTGAGGGGACCGGAGAGTCTGGCAAAGGTCAGATGGAGAGAGCAGAGGGACTTGGGGATGGCTTCCACTAGAGGGAACAGACAGGAAAGGAATTTAGGAACTTCTTCTGTCCTTGCCCCTGGGACCCTGTTGTGACGTTTCTGAGTCTCTAGTCTCTAAACTCAGACAAGTTTTAAAACTTCTCTTCAAACTTAAATATTTAGACGTTGCACTCAGGTTCGTCTGAATGAGGCGCGTTGCTGAGACGGAGCAGGGAGTGGGGGTCTTGAGGCAGCCTGACCGCGAATGTGACAAAGACAACAGGTCCCTTGGAAGACAGAACCAAGGTGGAGGGGACCCCGACCACATTATGTGAGGGGCAGGAAGGGGCTTTGGGGTCCTGCCGACAGGAAAGTGGGCTTGGAGCAGTGGGGAGTCCAGCCTGGCCTCATGCCCAGGAACAAAGCTGGGACCAGGGAAGTGGCCTGCTAGAGTCCAGCTCAGCAGGACAGAGTTTTCTCCAAGGCAGCTTCTCCTCAGAAGGAGGGACGGAGAACTGGGGCAAAGCCTTCTCTAAGAAACTGCTCTTACCCAGGGAGTCTGCGACATTGAAACTGAGCCCTGACTCCACCAAGGTGCAGGAGGATAAAGTGGCCCACGTTGGGGTGGCAGGTGAGAAGTCAAGGCCACCTTGTGTCAGCTGAGGGAACCCCACCCTCTCAGGGGATGGAACCCAGAGGCCAGAGGCCCTCACCTCATCAGTGTCATCAGGGAAGTAGACCTTGTGGAAAATCTGGGTGGTTTTGTGCTGGATGGCCTCCACCTCCACCAGGTGCGGAGGGTACTTCCGGGACCCATTTCTGAAAATGGGCAGGGAAGGGTCAGATCAGAAGAGGGACCAATGGGACCAGGGAACAGAGGAAACTTTGGAGACAAACTGGGGTCTGACCCTCCTCCTCATTTCCTACAACAGAACCAGCCACTTCTTACATTCTTGAGTTCTTTATCTGGGAAATGTGATAACAGTGCCCAGGTGGCATAGGGCTTTAGAGGGCAAACAAAGTGCAGGGTGCCAGAGGGCTTTGTAGGGTCTTGAGTGTGACCCAGGGGTGCACGCCTGCTTGGCGCACTTAAAGGGATGCGCCAAGCACCTCTGAGCCACCAGACTCCCAAACTGTCCAGAGTGCGACTGTGGCTGGCATCTGAGGAGCTCAGGAACAGGTCCCCACAGCTGTGTGGTCATCCTCATCCTCAAGGGCTGGTCCCATGAACCCAGTGAGGCCGAGGACCAACCCAGTGCTGCTCCCTGTCCCTGGCAGCCCTTGTACCTCAGCGCTTTCTGGAGCCGCTGCAGGCAGTCGATGGCGAGCGGGCAGTGCTTGCGGGACTGCAGGAAGCGCTGGACGTGGGGCAGGAGGATGTTGCTAGGTGGGAAGAGGCCGGTGCAGAGCCAGAGCAGCTCCCAGCCTCGCTCCTCGCTGTACCTGTGGGAGGAGGCCCCGTAGGAGTCACAGGGACCTGTGCAATCCCAGGGCCACACCCCCAGTTCCTCATCCCAAGGCCCAGCACCACCCACATCTCTGTAGCGGGATCCAGTTAGTGCCAATCACCCTGTGGCCGCCCACCCACGCCAGGCCTTGTGCTGTTACCAGTCCACATAGGGACCAGGGACCCCTGCCAGAGTGAAAACCCACTGTGGCCAGGGGCTCTGCTGGGGTCAGCTGAGGTTTCACTTTCACAGCAAGACTTTCCCCAGGAAGAGGAAACGAGCAATTTATACTGCGACTCCGGACTCGCCACACTGGGCACAGCACTGAGTTAGGCCAGCCCCCTACTTGGGACTGAGGCGGGAGGCTTGGAGGGCTCCGAGCAAGGAGGTGGCATTTGATCTGGGCTTTGAAGGTTGAAGCAAATTCTGACAGGCAAAGAAAGGAATGGAGGGCTTTCCTGCCAGCAGCCCAGCATGTACAAATGTCTGGTTGTGTGAAAGGTCTGTAGTTCCAGAGGGAATTTGTGCAAGAGATGGACAGTGATGAGGCTGGGGAGGAAGGCGGGTGGGGTGATGGAACAGGGCAGGGCTTTCCTCAGTCTCTGAGGAAGAAGGAGGCTGACTTCCCTCTCCTGCCTCTGGCTGGCCCAGTGGGGAGAAGGTGACAGCCTCTGGGGCTGCCCACCGTGACCCATGAGCATTTTCAGCCACAGCTTCCAACTGACGGCCTTAGTCCAAGCCAGGACAAGACACTGGCTAAACCTGTAGGTCCAGACATCCCCGGAGCCCCCGTGGCCTGCAGGCCTGGGGAAAGCCATCCACAGAGGCTCACACAGGTTCGAGAAGCAGCAGTTGGAAGGACTCATGCTGATCAACACAGAGGACAGACCAGGAGGGTACAGCCACCACTCCCCACCCCCCTCTTCCTTTCTCATTTTTTGCAGTGCTAGGAATGAACCCTGGGCCTCAAGCCCACTAGGCAAGCGCTGTGCCACTGAGCTAAACCCCCAGCCCCTACCTCCTGGTTCTTGAGGATTAACCTTTGGCTGCAGGCCAAGCTAGGCTGAGTGGCCTAGGAGTCAGCCTCTCCCTGCGTGCGAGGAAGCCGTGTTTCCAGGCAGAGCAGTGCTGCCCGCCCCACACCTGCTCACCTGATGTGGTTGTCCGTCAGCTGCTTCAGGATCTGCACGTATGCCTCATCCTTGAGGGGCTCAGCCTTCAGGGCCCCCTCAAAGATCTGGTCTGTGAGCTCGTTGACAGAGCGCATCCTCTTGGATGGGTAGTCACCCATGTACTTGAGAACAGGTGGGATTGTCAAGGAAGGGCTTGTGGCTGAGTGGGGCACACACTGGCCCGGAGGTAGAAGGCCACCCTCCCCCTGACCCTGGGCCTCAGACTACTAAGTTAGAAAACTGGATTGATCTGCCCACCCGCCACGGCTCCTTCACAGGCCACCCTTCCTTGGTCCCCAACCTCACAGCAGCCAGGATGGACTCCCCAAGTCACCAGTCTGGCTGTTCCATTCCCTGTCCAGGGGCTCCCCCTGGTCTCGGGACACAGCCCAAGTTTCTAAGTAGGGCTTGGAACCCTTCCCTTAGTCAGCCCACATCTTCCAGATGAGCTGAGTTACTTTGTGCCCTGTTTTGCCTCAGGACTTTTGTGCATTCTGCTCCCTCTGTCTGGGATGCTCCCCAGCTGTCTCCCCGTTGCCTACTAGGTCCTACTCAGCCTTCAGGTCTCAGCCTAGATGCCACATCCCAGCACTGGTTCCTGTTAGCACATCGCCCCCATGAGGCCAGGGGCTGACTCTGGTCACGGCTCCATCTCCATGCCTGGCCTACAGCAGGCATGGCAAAGCTGCTCAGCCCCTGGCCAGAGCCCACAGGAGCCTCTGCCCTCCGTCCTCTCTCTCGTCCCCAGGAGCTGGCACCTAACTGAATGACAGGGTCAAAGGAGACAGTGGAAGAGATGGGGCCTTGCATACTGTAAGATGTGCCTCCACGTGTGCCCAGGACCCAGCCAGCCCTCAACAGGAAGGAGGTATCTAGCTGAAAAGTCTCCCTGCCCAGCATCCCCTACCCCACCTGTCCCCACCTGTCCCCACCCAGTGCACATGGATATCGATGAAGGCCATGCAGGCCTCCTGCGAGAGCTCCTCGCTACCCAGGATCTTCTTGAGCAGGGCCTGCTTGAGTGGCTCCCGTGTGTGGCTCCACAGCCGATCCTTGCCTCGGGCCTTGGACACCATGACACGGCTCAGCGTGTGCTTGGGTGGGGACCTGCCACAGCACAGGGACAGTCAGCAGCCATCCCATTGCAGGAAACCTGGGGAGAACCCCAGTGGGGAGCCCCCCAGCAGCCTGGAAGCCACGGGCAGGAGTAAGCAGTGCTGTCCCCACCCCGCTCTGCCACCAGAGATGTGCAGAAGCCACCTCCTGCAGAAAGCCTCTGCCCCCCGCCCACCAGGCCTCCTGGGCACAGTGCTGGGCTAGCAGAGCCAAAGCCCCCCACTTTCTTGCTGTCTCCCCACAGGATAGTGAGGCTGAAACAGGCACTGGTGTGTGACACTGAGGGCCAGGACATGCCTGGGAGGGCACAGTCCCCACCACCTCAAGGAAGGATGCCGTGCGCCCGCAGGGAAGCATCATTTCCGGGATGGAAACGGCCCTGCTGCTGACCCTGGCAGGCCCTGCTCACAGGCAGGCATGGCAAAGCTGCTCAGCCCCTGGCCAGAGCCCACAGGAGCCTCTGCCCACCATCCTCTCTCTCGTCCCCAGGAGCTGGCACCTAAAGTAGTCGTAGGAGAACTCCTCCAGCGTGTAGGGCTTGGCGCGCACCTCGGGCTCTGCAGTTCGCAGCTGCAAGAGCCGGATGACGTCCTGCCTCTGGTCAGGGGTCATGGTGACCAGGGCCTACAGGTCGAGAGACAGGGAGCTCATGTCAGCCCTCAACTGGAGCCACTGGGATAACATGGTAAAAGCCCAATGTCCGGCAACCTGTGGCTGGGGACTGTCTCCACAGGTATAGACCCACTGTTTTCTGACCCCAAGTCCCCTTCCTTCCCCAAGGACCTCAGGTCACTTCGCCTTCATCCTGCGGGGCTCTAAGCTGCATCAGCCAGGCTCAGGAGCTGCCTGGGAAGGCGGGCTCTGCGTCCTCAGAGCAGAACTCTGAGGGTCTCTGGGAGAACAGGGCTCCCAGCCCAGCTGTGCCCACACTGCCTTTCAGACAGTGCAGGCTGACCCCTCCCGCTGGCCACTCTCCTCCCATCCCTGCTCCTTGCAGCTCCTCCTCTGATGTGCGCACTAGGCCCCTCCCTACCTGACACAGGTTGGAGTCTGTGGTGCCTCAGCCCCGCCCCCCACTGAGCATCTGGAGACCATTGATCTATCACAGTCCCTCACTCCACTTTACAGATAGGAGAGAGGACAGAGGGGTCTGAGGAGCCTTCCACCCACCTGCCACTGCCAGACCACATACCACGATCTCCTGTGGCGGCATGGTGACAGTGGGCATGACATACACACAGTCGGTTGGGAAGTCCCCATGCTGCTTGGTCCTCTCGTTGATGCCGTTGGCCCAGCCTGAGTTCATGACCTGCTCACCGGTGTCATGGTCCAGGATGATGAGGTCTCCCTTGGCGAAGCTGAGGAAGCCTGACTCCTCACCCGCTTTGGAGCAGAGGTGAGCGGGGGCAACATGGGGGCAGAGAGAGAGGGGCTGGGTTGGAACATCTTTATTTAGGTTGATGATCCATCAGCCACTCCTCCCCACTGAAGAACTGAGGCCCTGTCCCACTCATGTCTGCCCACCTGGCCACCTGGCCTCTACCTTGTCACAACCTTCTGCACAAAGACACCAGAGGGGGCCATACTCTTCTCTTGCTCAAAAACTTTCTGTGGCTCCCCATTACCCTTAGGAGAAGACCTACACTGCTGAGCCTGTTGGGAGCTGGCCTCCCTGACTCCTTCCACCTTGCTTCTTGCCCCCCGCCCCCGTCACACTCCAGTCACACCTAACTATGTGAAGTTCCCCAGGACACGCTGGCTTTCTCCTGCCTCTGCACGTGGTCCTCTGCCCTCTGCCCTCTGCCCCACACGCTCTGCTCACTCTGTGCCTCCTCCATGGATTCTGGGCTATATGGGGGCCTCTCCTCTGAGCACCCACAGCCCTGGGGCTTCTCTGGTCACTGTGCTGTCCCTGGGCCAGCATTCTGCCTCCCTCCCAACTGAAGGCAGGTCCAGGTCCACACTCTGCACAGGCCTAGGCAGCCCTGGAGGTGCTTGGCCAGTGTGGTTGTCATGCTGCTGTCATTGATGGCAGTGGGTATTTGGAGAGCATTGAGGGGACCCCTGATCAAATGTGGAGAAGGTGACAGGAGATAAGAATGGAGGACCAAGGGGTGGAGAGAAGAAGGCTCCTCTTGGGCAGAGGTGAAGGCAGTGTTCTGCCACCGGCCCGTTACCTGGGTAGGACAGGTTAAGACGGGTAACGCGGTCCTCGCAGCCTGGAGTGCAGGGCCGGGGCCAAGGTGTGGGGCCTGCCTAATGCCCCAGCTACCCACACCAGCAGCCACTCACCAGGGTTGGGGTTGTCCTGCAAGGCCACCACGTACTTAGACCTCTTCCGGAGCCCCTCCAGGAAGGTGACCACCAGGTCACGGATGTCCTCGGCGTTGTTGGATGTGAAGGTGTACTCATCCCCCTTGATGGTGGCCAGTGTGAAGCTGGGGGCCGTCAGTTTTGCTCCCCTGCAGGACCAACACGGAGAACAGGGCCCAGCCGGGGTCAGTCCTGCACGGCCCGAGTGAGGTGCTACACAGCCCAGATCAGAGCAGCCCAGCGAGAGCAAGACACGGCACTCCCTGAAGGAGACCAAGCCCAGTCTAGTCAGAGGGGCCCAGCCTCAGGGAGCCCAGCCAGAGCAAGGCCTGGTCCAGCAGGGGGAGATGTGGCCCAGGTCAGACGCATCTCAGAGCCCCCGCCAGCATCAGGCATGGCCAGGCGAGGCCCTGGCTGGCCTAGCCCTCTTGCCCTTTGCCTTTGCCAAATCTAAGTCCAACTTGCCCTTCAATTTGCAGCCTAAATACCACTTCCTCCGGGAAGTCCACCATACCCTCCCCCAGTCCTTATCACACTGTCCCTTCTCTACAATGGCCTCTTTGATGTCTGTTTCCCTCCACTGAAGCTCTAAGAGGTCGAGGACCATCTGTCACCACTGAATCTGATGTGTTTAGCACGTGCCTGCTCAGAGCTGGATGTGACCACATCAGATGCAGCTCAGAAATATTCCTGCAAGCTCCATATTGGGGGAGGGGGGGCTTCACTGCTGGGAGAGGTGGTCTAACCCAGGAAACCGCCCCCACCGCCTGTGTGCAGGGCAACCTAAGGTTTACAAAGAGTTCCCCTATCATTTATTACTCCCTCCCTGTTACTGAAGGAAAATATCCAGAACCCTACTTTAGGAATGGGAACACAGAGGTGAACCCTGAAGCCCTCTTGCACACACTGACCTGCCTCTGACTGTCCTTTTACCCTGCTGAGGCCACCTCAGAGCCACCTTTACCATCCATGAGGCCCCTTGTGGGAGGGGCCTGAGGGCTGCGTAGCGCAGCACAAACAGCTCGGCTGTGTGAAGCCAGGACAGGCCACTGTGCCTGTGCCCCCCACAACCCGTGATGCCCTGTACCCCCTCCCTTCCCTGCAGGTCCATCTGTGCTCCACGTGCTCCTCCTCACCTGCTGCTGGACACAGCCATGATCTCTGGGAAGGACAGCTCCAGAAGCACCTGCTCCTGCTCATCCACAAAATAGATGCCTGTCCAGTTGACAGCCACAATGACATCATTCTTAGGGAGATTGGGACCTGCGACAGTGACAGAGACACTTGGAAGGTGGCCTCCCCACTCCTGGATCCAGCCCCTCCTGATTATCATAACTGTCAAGGAGGCGACTAGGACCGAAGTATAACGATTCCCATTTTGTGAGCAAGAAAACTGCGGCTCAGAGAGCACAGCGGCTCAACAAGCCAAAACCCAAGGTGCAGTGACCATATTTGGAGATAAGGTGCAGGGAAGAGAGTGCTGGGTCAGGAAACCCGGCTTCAGTCATATCTGCCATGGTCTCTGTGCAGCTCTGGACAAGTCCCTTCCTGCACCAAGGTGGAATTGGGGTTGGACAACAGAGCCCCACGGCTCCCTGTGGCCCTAACATCTGATGATTCTGTGAAGCCCAGCATCAGCACAGGGCCTGGCACAGAGCAGATGCCCAGTAACGATGGCCCAAGGATGGCTGAGCAAAGGGCCTGGGCAATTGGCACAACCTTGCCCACACTCAGCTTCGGGGAGACAGCTTAGCACAGCTGGCCCACCGTGGGGTGCTTTAATGATTGCAGTCCTCATCCAGTTGTTCAACCCAGCACACCATGAGCATCTACTATGTGTCATGGAGTCACTGTTGGACTGCAGGGTGACAGAGCAACTCTGCAGCATGATCTAAAAAGAGCAGGCACCCTGCAGGCAGGAGTCCGCTGACGGGGAGCTGGGCAAAGTTCCCCTCTCTGCTGTGAACTGAGAGACTGGGAGACCGGGGGTTACCTGAGAACTTATAGGCTTCATAAAACCTGGAGAATAGCAAGGGCCACTTGAAGCGGGCATAATTGACCACATCCTCTTTGACCTTCTGGGCATCCGTTCTCCTTTGGGCATAAATCCCCTGGAGAGGACAGAGAGGAAAGAAGGTAGAAGACAGTATATAAGTTCTAGAAATCATACATCCCTGCCGCTAGTCAGGGGTGGCCCAGGGCTCCTGTGTCCTCCTGTGCATTCCTGATGGCCTCACCCTGTTCCTGATGGCCTCACCCTGTTCCACAGCAGCCCACGCCACCCCCAGTTGATATCAGTGAGCCCTTGTGTGGATTCATACTGCCTCTGTGCAGGTCCTGGGACACAGAGAAAACATGGGTGCCACCCCCAGGGAGTTCCCAGTTCAGCAGAAACTGGGTAGGTCCAGGCCTTAGAAAGGTCAGGTACAGAGGAAGGATTACAGACCAGAGGTAAGGCCAACAGCAAGGGGACTGCAATGGCCCTGGCAAGGAACAAAAGCACTAGTGCTTTGTTACTCCAAACACGTCCCCCGGGGCCCTTGTGAGACCTCCGTGCGTTGAGGTGGAATTAGAAGGATCAGAATGAACTCATGGTTTTGACAATATGTAGACACAGACAAGGATAAAGATAATGGTGTGTGCCAGCTCAGACTGCCCCATTTCCATCTTGGAGAAGGTCAGACCTTGGAAGAGTGAGCACTCAGGGTGACGTGCTTGACATTGACACTGCAATGAATCTCAAAATGTTCAGAAAAATAATATGTAGGTATGCAGAGAGAGAGAATCACAAAGCAAAGGTGGCTTAGTCCAGGTGAAATGTGCATAACAGGTCTAGTTTTTGAACTTGCAACTTCTCTGGAAGTTTGCAATTATTTCAGAATGAGATTTTTTTAAATTTTTTTTTAGTTGTTGATGGACCTTTATTTTATTTATTTGTATGTGGTGCTGAGAATCGAACACAGTGCCTCACGCATGCTAGGCAAGCACATTACCACTGAGCCACAACCCCAGCCCCCAGAATGAGATGTCTTTAAAATACCTCTCTCAGTTTTAGTTTGAATTGTGTCCACCACCCCCACCCCGCCAACAAATTCATGTGTTGAAGTCCTAAACCCCCTGGTAACCATATTTGGAGATAAGGTCTCTTGGAAGTTAAAATGCCATCGGAAGTTAAAATGCCATCTTTAGGGTGGATCCTACTCCAATGACTGATGTCCTTATAAGAAGAGGAAACTGACACAGACCTGCATGAGCATAGAGGAAAGACCATGTGGAGACAGATGGAGAAGATGCCCTCTGCGGGCAAGGAGAAGCCTCCATAGAAACCAACTCTGCCAACACCCCAGTCCGCACTTCCACTCTGGGACAGAGGTGTAAACATCTGTCCTTTCAGCCCCGGGCCTGTACTGCTTCACTAAAACAGCTCCAGCCAACTAACAGCCTTCCCACCCCACAAGAGTCATTCACATCTGGCCCCCTGCGAGGGCAGCATGGGGCTCCATGTGAGGGAGGCCTGGATGCAGGGGATGAGAGAGTGCGTCAACTAGTTTGCCAAGAGGAGTCTGCTGTGAGACAGCAGGGATCTTGGAGATGGGAAGGCCTATGGGTCCTCTGCCAGCAGTCAGTGCCCACAGCCCACCTGAGGGCCCCTGTTCCACTTAGGCAGGCCCCTGAGCTTGGCTGGGAACTGCTCATATCTGGCTGCAAGCAGGGGCTATACCTCATTCTCCAGACAGGAAGGCGACTGGCATTCTTTTCTTTTAGGGAAAAGAAGGGGCATTTCCTAGTTGCAACCTAAGGCACCCCCTCTACTTCCCTCTTGGAAACTCAGCCTCATAAACAGTTGATGAGACATAAGGCAAGGCCACCACAAGACCCTGTGATCTCAGGAAGCTAGGACTGAATTTGACTCTTCTCTGTGTCCCTGGATCCCAGCCCAGAGTGGTTGTTATGGTTTGGATATTCAGTGTCCCTGAAAAGCACATGTGTGAGATAAGGAAAGAAATTTCAGAGGTGAAATAATTAGATTATGAAAGGTGTGACCTCATAGGTGGATTAATCCATGGATATGGATTAACTGGGTGATAACTATAGGCACGTAGGGTGTGGCTGGAGGAGATAGGTCAATGGGGGTGTGCCTTTGGGGTTTATATTTTGTTCCTGGTGAGTGTCGGTCTGTCTGTCTGTCTGTCTGTCTGTCTGTCTCTCTCTCTCTCTCTCTCCCTCTCTCCCTGTCCTTCCTGGTCATGTACTGAGCTGCTTCCCTCCACCATGCCCTTCCACTGGGATGCTGTGCCTCACCTCAGGCTCAGAGCTGTGGAGCTGGCCCTCTACGCACTGAAAACTCTCAAACTGTGAGTCAAAGTGATCTTTTTCCTCTTCTATGTTTTCTTGTCAGGTCTTTTGGTCACAGTGACAAAAAACCTGACCAAAACATTGGATGACAGAAGACCCATGTGAACCCATGTCCACAGGGGAGAAGTGTGGAGGTCTTGACCCCTGCAGCCCCACAAACAGGAGATGCCAGGTGGGACCATGACTACCTGGACTGCGCGCTCCTCCCCCGTCTCCACGTCCCCTGATGCCCTCCTACCTTCTTGTGGGCAGCAATGGCCAGCTGGGCCCACTTCTCAAGTGTCTTCAGGGGTGTGATCTCGCGGTCCGGGATGTAGGTGGGGACAAGGTTCAGCAGACGCTCCAGGATCATCTCAGAGCCATAGTCCACAAAGTACTGCTGGGAGGCCAGCTCCGCCAGGTCATCCTCCTGTGGGAGGGGACCTCAGTCATGCGTGCGGCCCGTACCCTCTGCCCTTCCAGACTCCTAAAGCCTTCAGGTTGCTCTCCTGGCCCTGTCTCCTGTAGTTCTGGGCCCTGCCCCTTGGGACCCTGCATTTTCACTGATTTGCTGGGGTGTTCCTGAGGGCCGCACCCCTGCCTTCTCCTGGGTCCCATTAGCTCTATGCTAGACTCTGACCAGGGGCATATGAGCTGAAGAGGCCAGTCAGCCTGCCAGGAATGGGCCAGCCACTGCATGTCCAGCCCTCTCCTACAGCAACCGGGGCGGATGAGCAGAAGAAGAGGATGTGCCTGTCCTGGATAATGGGAGACCTGGGACCGCGGGGGATGAACAGAGAGGGAGTGCATCACCGTTACCGTCTCCATCACCATCACTCTGCCCCTGGGGGTGTCCAAGTAGTGAACAACCAGTGGCTCTGCACACAGGCTTCAGAGGACCAGGTGAACACTGGGCATTTGCTGCCTCTCTGCTGGGTGATGCCTACCTGGGGCTCCCCAGGGCTCCAGTAGCAGGGGCAATAGAGAAAAACTCTGGGGGCTTTAAAGGCAATCAATATTTTCCAGTGAGTTTGAAGCATTTCAGAATTTCAGCAACTAATATGGCGGTTCCAACAATGAATACCATCAACACCAACAACATCACTACCAACCACAGCATCATTACCACCATCAACACTGCCATCACCACCACCAATAACGACACTAGCACCAACACCATCACCACCTCCACCACCCCACCACCAGGCACCACTGTCCTCATGCCCATCCTCACCCTCCATCACAATCGCCAGCAGAACCCTAAATACCATAAGCAGCACCATCACCATCACCAAAAAACAAGACGACCACATTGCTCCAGTCCTCAGGAGGAGACAGAGGATACACACTTGTAAATTCTGGTCTAAAGGACTGAATCTGTTTCCCATTCAGAGCAGAGTTTACTGGACTAACCCAGAACCATAAGCACACACACTATGCCATGCAGTCACAGCAACGTGTAGGACACCTTCCAGGGGTGGAACTCGGTATACTCTTCAAAGACCCCGCTGCCATCATTGTATCTCCTCCTCACAGCTCCTGTGAGGCAGGTCGTCTTAAGTCCAGCAGAGGCCTGGAGAAGGTCCAGCTGCAAGCAGCCACTCTCAGCATTAGCTGATGATAGGTCACAGACAGGAGCACCTGGCCCAGACTGGGTAAAAAGGAGTCTGTGGGCCAAGCAAGCGCAGTACAGGATTTGCCGTCACTCACCTTCTCACACCTGTACTCCCCAAACTTGACCCCGCGCACCACCTGCTGGTAGATGAGGTTGGTGGCCACGTTGTCTTCTGAGGGGTTGTGCCAGGGTGTGAAGACCTCTTTTCGGAAGAAGAGCCTCCAGGGGGCATTGCGCTCCTGGGCACCCTGCTCCTTGGCATACTGCTCACACTGAGAGATGGCGTCCATGACATGGTCACTGCCACTGCCCAGGGAGGACACCTGTGGGCACCGGAGAGAAGGCCCAGTAGAAGGGTGGGCAGGCATGGAGTCAGGGAAGGACTACAGGAAGCCACCAGCTGTGGTCCTGGTCCAGATAGAAAACAGACCCAGAGAGAAGCAGGATGTGCCCTAGGTCCCCTAGAAGGCAGACCCAAATGGGATCCCCAGGTCCCATGGGTTCTGAGCTGTCACCCTAAATTATTAACTTTCCAGCCTCAGTCATGGGCACACTTATGGGGAAGTTGCAATTTCCTAGTACAAATCCTTTGTGAAGCTGTTGGACAAACTGTCACTGAAATCTACAAGTGAGAAAAATCCTGGCAGAGTGTCCAGAACAAGGTTCTGTCCCTGGACCTGCCGGGTGGAGAAGAAGGCAGCAGAGGAGCCTGCAGTCCCCGAGCCCAATAGGCTCACACATGCTGCTACAGAAGAAATGTGTGACCGCTTGTCATTTCCCCAGCCCACAGCACAGCAACCGCGCAGGGAATGGTTGTGAGAGAACTGGCTGCCTGCTGCCTGTCGGGGCCCTGTTCCTCCTCAGCACCAACAGAGGATTCTTCCTACCTGGGCCCACACGACTGAAGAGCGCCCCCAGCACCCATCCTAATGAGTCAGCGAGAACCGGGGCTACCCCTGGCTGGAGTCACCTGAGCCAGGAGTCAGCACTGGGACAGAAGAAGGTAGTTCCCACCCCCCCCCCCAGAGTGGCGTCAGGAGGTGATGGGGCTCCACCTTACCTTATCAAACAGGGCGATGTACAGGGAGAACCCAAAGCGGTCCTTGAGCGAGATCTTGTCGGCCAACGCATTGCATAGCTCCTTGGCTGTGGTTGCTGAGTCCGTCAGAAGGGTCTTGGTGGTCCCATCCATGAATGTCACAGGTAACATGATGGGCTTCTTGGACTTAGTGGCCTGGAAGTGACCCCAGAGAGTTTGAGGATCCCTTCACTTCTGACCAGCTTACTCTCTCTGGACTCTGGCCCCCTGCTCCCACTGAGTGAATGGGATCTGCCCCTAGACCCCAGGTCCCTGCCATCCCACCAGGACACTATCCCTGTCACAGGAGCCTGAGGAGCCGTGCTCCACAGCCCATTCTAATGGGACCTTCAGGGCCCCTGAGCAAGGCCTCTGAGCTGGGCCCCTGGGGCTGGGAGGTTGGGCACTGCCACAGGTCGGGCTTCTGACCTTATTTCACATAAGGACATCACAAGACCCTGCAAGATGAGTATCACCATCCCCAGGTTGCTGGCAGAGCCTCGGAGATGCAGAGGGAATCCCTCTTGCCCAAGTGATTTTGGTACAAAGCCATTGATCCTTTGGGGGCTTTTCTGTTCTGGTGGGCCTGGGACTCCAGAACAGAGGAACAGAACTCAAAGCAGGGAGCATTTCTGGGGCACTGGGGTGCACTGAATACACACTTGCTGCGGGCGGGGACGCACCTGCAGCTCCAGCCAGCTGGGTGGCTGCGTCCGAGTCCCATTGACAAAGGTCCTCCTCAGGCGCTCCTCACAGTATGGGGCATAGCCAGGCGGTCCCCCATGGATGAAGTTCCGCAGGTACTATAGACAGGAGACCCAATGAGGCAGCTTCCAGCCAGCCTCCCTGGGCCTCCCCAGCCTGGACCATTCCAGCAGCCTTCAGCCCCTTGCCCACACTCGGGACCTGCCTCTCAAGGTAGGACTGCCCACACCCCTCCTCTCCATGCTCCAGCCATGGCTCCTGCGGCCCTCAGGACATGTACTGTGGCTCAGCAAGAAAACCACACAGTCCAGCTCTACCTTTCTCTGCCATGTCTCCAGCCTCACCCCATACCACCATCTCCCCTGTCCCTGGCATAACTGTCCTCCTCCAGGGCCCTGTTTGGACTCTACCACCTCCTCCAAGCTCACAGCACCCTCCAGTCAGGCTGGCATCCCCAGAACCCAAGGCCTAGCTCTGAGTTGAACTGAAGTGCCTGACCCAAGTGACGTGCTCAGAGGGCCCAAGACACCCTCCTGACTGACTCAAGCTCAGTAGAATGGGGCCAGGGGTGGTGGGACTGAACAAAGTGGTGGCTGCCTGGGTATCCTACTGGTGTAGGATGGGTCTGGGTGGGAGGTGGTGAAGCCTGAGAGGCTCCAGGCCCTGCTGAGCCGCCTCCTCTGCTTTCTCCCCTCGATGCCAGGACAGGGCCTGGCTCCTCTTCCTCCTGGGGGCCTCCCTACCTTAACAAACTTCTCAGAGGGGGCGAAGCAGCCCACGCAGAGAGACACGAGGATCCAGCCCCGGGCGTAGCTGCTCTTGGAGGGGTTGTGGGTGAGCTGCTTACTGATCTGGCAGTAGATCTCATCCCTAGGCAGGAGGAGAGCTGCCTCAGAGGAACAGCCCCACCCCACCGCTCCCAGCAGCAGGTGTGATGCGACATCACAGTGTGATCCAACATGCCCAAGATCATCCAGGGGGAGGCAGAGTGTGCCAGGTCGGGGAGCCTGAGCCCAGTGCTCTAGGGAGCCACCGAAGAGAGTCTTGCTTTAGAGATAGGATCATCAGGCAGGAAGCACGTTGATAACTCCAATCCAGAGTCCACCATGCAAAGGTGGTGGTACGTATCCTGCTCTGGGCACAGCAGCCACAGCCCCTGGTGGCAATGCTGATGAGAAGCACAGGCCTGCCCCTGTCTGGTCCCCGACCTGCTGGCTGGCCCAGGCAGATGGGTGGGCTCCATTCTCTGACCCCAGCCCATAGTCAGGGATAGTTTCTACTAATGGAAGCTGGTACGGCAAAAACAACCCCAGCACTTGGGGCTGGATGAATGGAGACTCTAACTTCTCCAGATGCATTCCTGTAATGTTGGGATTTTAAGTGGCTATTACTTTTGTGCTAAGATGAAAGTAATTTTTGTTTTCATTTTAAAGGGATCCTTTCAGGATTGCTGTGCAAAAATATAAGTCAAGGTGTGTAAAACACCCTGCACAGGGCCTGGCATAGGGGCTTCATGAAAGGGCAGCTGTGATGGTCACTGCTGTTGTGAGCAATGTCTCTCTTGGTCCCTAAGCCTTTAAGAGAGCCTGCTGTCTCAGGGCTGAGGGAGGGCGCGTAGTGGCATGCTGACCACCAGGGGGCACTTGCTGCTCCTCTTGGCTGCCCTGGGCAGGAAGAGGGATGATCTGATTCAGTGGCTTTCCAATTTTGAGTGATTGTGGGCCAATATGATTTAAATTTCAGAAGTTGCCAACTCTTTTTAATCATGACAAAATAAGAACATCTAAAACACACACATACCTATACACACACCCTGCACACTACCCTATTTCCTAAAACGAAGGTCATCTAAGATATCCAAAGCCAGGTAGGGAGTGCAGCTCAGTGGTAGAGCCCTTGCCTGGCATGTGTGAGGACCAAGGGTCAATCCCAGTATTTTTTTTTAAAAAAAAGGCCCCAAATTCCAGAGGTCTAAATCTCAGAACCAAGAGCAACGCTTAAAGTTAGACAACTGTAGCTGCAGTTCTCGTCTTGCCACAGACCCGTGAAAATCTTATCCCCTGCTACTGGAGGCATTGTCGTGGTCCCTCAGGGTTCATTCCTCAGCCTTCCAACTCTTGGTCCAGGCATCCCAACATGGAGGCTGTGACAGTGAGAAGACTGGGTGGCTACCATTCCCTTTTAGAGGGGTGGCCCTCAAGCAAGGCAGTACCTGGCTTTGGGGAGTGACGGGAGGAGACTCTCCTGGAAGGCAGGAGGTCTGGGAGGCCAGGTGACCCTGGGCAAGTTTCTTCCCCACTCTGAACCTGTTTTCTCATCAGGAAAATGGGGCTCCCCGTCACTGACCCTGCTGCTGCCACTACCCCTCCCTGCAGGCCAGCCCACAGCAGCAAACAAGTTCATGGGCTCGGCTCACCTCACCCCTTCCTGTGCTGCTGCCGTTGGGGAAGCCTGCCCACCCTCACCCCGCCTAGCTGGGCAGATCCCTTACTTGCTCCTGGTGACTCCCAGGTCTTTGCATCACATCCCTGACCACTGCTGCCTAGATAGAGGCTCTCCTGGCCTCAGGGGAGGGTACAGTGGCAGGGTCCCCCCAGCATGCTGCCCATGGTGATCCTGAACTCAGGTAACAATAGTCATAGTTACTATTACTGAGGGCCTACTGTGCTCCATGATTTTTACGCACTTCTTGTCTTTGTGACTTTCCATGAGCCTAGGAGGTAGGCACCATTATTTTTACTCTTTATAGATAAGAAAAAAAGGCTTAGAGAGACCAAGGAACCTGACGTGGCGCAGCCAGCTGGCAGCAGAGGCAAACACAGGCCTTTGGCTTAATCTGTTGCTAAGGTGATGAAGTCACAACACAGCTGCCTTAAGCCTTCCAGCCCTGCCCGGGGGTGCCGGGCGCCCCCTCGTGGCCTCCCTGAGCCCCTCAGGTGCTGACCGCAGTGCTGGCCGCAGGATGCCGTTGCCGATAATGAAGTGCAGCTTCTCCAGGTTGGAGGTGGGCCGGTCCTCCAGCATGCTGTTGCCCTGCACCGTGGACTCCCCATCATGCAGCCTCTTCGTCACCTGGGCCAGGGGACACAGTTAAGGGCAGGTGAAGCTGGGGACCTGAAACTGCCCAGTCTCCAGAGCAGATCCAGGCAGCAGGCAGAGGAGTTGGGCTCCCCACCACTGACCCTGCTGCTGCCACCACCCCTCCCTGCAGACCAGACGCTGGGCCAAGAGCTGCTCACATGGCCTGGGAGCACTGGCCTGGCACCTCCGCTTCTGGAAGACGTTTCCCCCAAACCTTCCTTGACACCCACTCCCAGCCTCCACTGGGGGAGGACCGTTCAGCCAGAATGGAACCCCCCCCCTCTCTGGGGTGGGGTCCCTCATACATCTGTGGCACCAGAGTACAGCCTGGGTTCCACCCACACAGTCACCAAGGCCCCTGACCCCGGTGTGCCCAGCTTCAGAACTGGTTCCTAGGAATCAGTGTCCCCTGTCTGGGGCCACAGCAGCAGCCCCACACTCTGCCCAGATGCAGTGAGGAGCAGGAGTGTGGGTTACAGATGGGGAGGGCTGTGGAAGGTTCCCACATCTCCTGAGCACCTCTGCTGCCATCTTGGGCCCCTCTCCCATGACCCCTGGGAGTGGGCATTTTCTTGCCTTGGCTCCTCTGATTCCAAGTACAGAGCTGGGATTCAAATCTGAGCCCACAAGACTAGCATCTTGTGTCAGGTGAGGATGGGACAAGGGCAGAGGCAAAGCAGTAGCCTCTGACTTTGTAATAAGGGGCGAGGAAGAGGATCCTGGGAAGAGGAGATTCCCAGGAAGAAAAGGGGAAGGAGGTATTTTAGGTGTGTGCAAGGAGGAGTGTGTGGGGCCCAAGCTGTGAATGCCATGGTCTGTCTGCGTCGCAGCCCCCACCAGCCTGCACCACCCTGGAGCCCTAGGACCAGGACAGTGCTCAGAAGATGAGGGGACCGACTGAGTGAGCTCAGAGCACTCAGGGGAGCAGACACTCTCTTATCTCAGCCACAGAGGAGCGCCCACCTGAAAGGTCCTTTGATCAAACGCCCCAGGCAGGTGTCCGAAGGAAGTGACCCCCTCACCCTGCACCACTCGGACGCTCTCCATTCCTGCTCTGCGAAGCCCTCCCTGGCCCCAGCCTGAGCCCACCGCATCTTCCATGCCGTCCTGTCTGCTCAATCCCCCCACCACGTTGTCCTGTCCCCTAAAGACAGGCAGCATTGACTCCTACTCCTGCTCCTGGGGGGTCCCAGCTCAGTCGGCTGCAGCTTAAGGCCCCGGGGTCCACTCTCACCTCCTCTGTGAGTTTGGACTTCTTCTTCAGGGTCAAGTGCACCAGTTTATGCCTCACACTGCTCTTCTTCTGCCCCTCAGGGAGTTGGGCCTGCAGGACCAACTAGGGTCAGGGGCAAGTGACTGGGCAGAAAGCAAAGACAAGACCACCAGACAGTGGGCTGCACCTGGGATCAGCTGACCTCCACACTGACACAAGACACGCCCCACCCTGCACCCTGCCACCCTGCACCCTGCACCCACCCCCACCAGCCAGCTGGCAAATGGGAAACGGACTCAGAAAAGCATAATGACCCCCCAAACCCTCCCCCCAAAGAGTCGCCACAGGAGCTGGCTCCAACAGCAAAGTCCTGCTCTGCCATGAGCCCCTGGGTCACCATCACTTCACAGTTTACACAACTTTCACACTTTTGCTTCCATAAGTAGAGAGAGAAGGCTGGGGATAGGGGAGGTGAGGCAAATCGCAGGGTGCTCTTTCTGCTGAGGGCGCTGAGGCCAGGCGGCCGTCTCCACTGGCCTGGGAGGGTCATCAACTCGGGGGGAGGGGGGAACCTTGGTCTGACCTCACTCTCGCCCTGCAGGGCCTGCAGCTCCCTCTTGTATGTCTTCTTGCCCAGAGTCTCATAAATCTTGGTCATCACAGGGATCTTCTCGCTGCCGTCACTCATGGCTGTGTGGTACTTGGGCTCTGGGAGGTCCCCCATGAACCTCAGGATGGTGATCCAGACTGCCAGAGCCGCCTGGGGGCAGAGCGCAGATGTCAGGAAACCGGAGCAGAGGACATTGCTAGTTGCTAACACCATGGAGACAGCCCGGATTCGAGGAGAGGGCTTGGAGAAACACCCGCCCACGTGTTCTGGCCCTAGGCTGCGCCCCAGGTAGGAGACGGCAGTCAGACCCAGGCCCTGCCCACCCAGGACATGCCACCCGGGCAGCACCCACAGCCCCAGCCCGGCCTTGCTAGCAGGGACCAGCAGCAGGCAGGCCTCACCAGCTGGTCGCCCTCATCATCGTGGTAGAGCAGCGGCTGTTTGAGTGGCCGCCGGGTGTAGGAATGTGTGGTTGTGCCCTGGAAGTAGGTGGCAGCAAACTTTGCGAATTTGTACTCAGAGAGGTCCTCCTCGTCCTCGTCAGGCAGGGGCAGGGCCGCGTCCACGTCCTCCTCCACCATCTCCGTCCGCCCTTGCTCCAGGTCCTGATGGACACAGAGGGGTTCCCTGCCATGTGGGCCTCAGGTGGGAGGGCCTGGAGCAGACTCAGGTTGACTGCCATCTCACATCCTCCCTGCAGAGCAGCTCCTCCTCCAGGAGGGTAGGGGCTCTGCATGTCCTATCTGCTGCCCAAACACAGTGGTTCCTCAAGAAGGCTCCAGAGAGGGACAGTGACCTGCCTAAGGTCACATGGCAAGCAGGGTCTGGATGGGGTCTGGGAGCCAGCTCATTGCCATTCTCTGCTCAGAGGGGTCAGGTGGGTTTTAATGCAAGGGGACACACACAAGAGGAGGAAGGACCATCACACAGTGGGGTGTAGGCTGTCCTCAGTTTGGTACCTCAAAGCCACTAGGTGCCTGGCCCTCCTGGCCTGGCAGGCCACCCGAAGTCCCCAGGAAGCCAAACATCTTGTCCACCATGTCAGAGTGATTGATGGGCTCGTGGCGGGCCTTCTCCATCTGCTCTAGCAGCTCCTTCTTCTGCCGAGCGGCCTCCTTCTCCTTCAGCTCGCGCTCTGCGTCCTCACGAGCCAGCTGGGCCAGGCGTTCCTGAAGGTTGGGGTGAGGCAGAAGGGGTGGGGTTGGCATCCAGTGCCACAGCCTCAGGAAGCACGCTTTCCTTGGGGAACCCAAGGTTGGGACAGCCTCAGTCCCAACCTCTACCAGGGCCTCCTGAGTGCAGGGAAGAACTGCACCCCCATCTTCCCCCTGGCTGGCCACGCTCAGCTCTGCCCTCACGGTGCAAGGCAGATAGATGCCCAGCACCTCTGGGCCACAGAGAGGCCTCTGGAGCAGCCCAGCCAGTAGCCCTGCCCATCCCCCCAGGGCTCAGCCTGGAACCTCTGCCCCAGGCAGCTCACTTCGCACCAACCCAGAAATCCCACAGCCACGGGGCGGAGGTCTAGATCAAGCACTACCCAACAGAAATATGATATAAGACACACATGTAGTAGCCATAGTTTAAAAAGCAAAAAGAAGCCGAGCACAGTGGTGCACGCCTGTAATCCCAGTGGCTTGGGAAGCTGAGAAGGAGGATTGTGAGTTCAAAGCCAGCCTCACAAACTTAGCGAGGCCCCCAGCATCTCACCAAGACCTAGTTTCTAAAGAAAATGTACAAAAGGGTTGGGCATGTGGCTCGGTGTTTAAGCACCCCTGGCTTCAATCCCCTGTACCAAAAAAGAAACGTGATGTTAATTTTAATAATGTTATTTACCAAATATCATCTTAACCTGTGATCAGTATTATAGAAACAACACTGAGGTCTCCTCAGTCCTTTCGCCTCCGACTAAGCGTCCAGAATCTAGATCAGGTATCTCAGTGCTCTCAGTCCAAGTGTTCAGGAGCCCTGTGGCTGGTGCTCCCACATCGGGCTGCACAGCCCTCGGGGCTGTCCCCCTGCTCAGGCTTTTTATCCCCCTGAAGGTGCCTCCTGCCTGGCCCAGTGAGAGCCGAGACATGCGCTAAATGCCACATGCGCCAAGTGCGCCTAGGAAGAGACACCTCCTGATTGAAGGCAGGAGGGTCGCAGGACAGGTGACGAGTGGCTGTGCTGGAGGAAAGCCATGGAGCCAGCCAGCAGACCAGGACATCAGGTGTCCCCAGCTCACCTGATGCTTGCGCTCTGCCTCCTCCTTAGCCTTCTTGGCACTCATCTCTTTCCGGAGCTTCTCCTCCTCCGCCAGCCTCATTTTCTCTGCCTCTAGGCGCCTCAGGTACTAAGGAAAGGGACAGCCAAGGAATGTCAAAACACAGGCGCAGTATTTGTCATGGCAGGGTGAGCCTGGGTTCTGGAACTGAGAGCATCTGATGAGCAGTTTGGCAGACAGGGAAACGGGCAGCTGAGACTCTCCAGAGCAGGTCGGATCTCAAAGCCAAACCAGGTTTGCGGGGGCCCTGAAGATCCACTAGGGTGACTGGGGCCCAGGCCAGCCTTGGCTGGGAGGGTGGGAGTGGGGTCTGTAACTCCTCAGAGCTGGCATAGCCTTCTTGGCACTCATCTCTTTCCAGAGTCCCCCCTAGGCCTTGGCCTCCTTGGCCAACACCAGGGCTGACCCATCTGCCTGAGGCAGCACACACCTCGGTGGACACCCCTTCTGGGTGCAGGGCTTGGGTGCTGGGACTTTGTGGTCCTCACCTCTGCCCGGAGGCGCCGGTGCAGCCTGCGGGCGATCATGCCCCTGGCGTAGGCCTGCACGGTGAGCACCGCCCAGAGGCGGTGGCGGAAGGCCTTGCGCACCAGGTAGGCACGGCAGCGGGCCTGGAACTGGATGATGCGCTGGCGGGCCAGGCAGTACTGCTGGTGCAACTTCCGGGAGCGGTGCAGGGCCTGCAGCCGCAGGAAGCCCAGGCGCATCTGCAAGGACATGGCCCTGCACTCAGAGACTGAGCCGCCACCCCTCCCAGAAGGACCCTGCCAGCAGCAGCCTCCGCTGCACAGGTCTCCAGTTCCAGACAGGCCTCCTCCTGAGGCAGCAGCTGCGCTGCTTCACAGAGGTCCACAGGACCCAGCCGCTCTGGGGGTCCCTTCTGAGGTCTCTGGTAACCCCAGAGTACTTACAACTCACCAAAACGTTCCCGAAGAAAAGCAGCAAGCATTGCTGACCAGTTGGGAAGAGCCACAAAGACTAGACCTGGACTTTGGTTGGAGGACAGGTAGGGGCAGGCCCTGGGAGGCTCACCAACTCGAAGTTCCTCCTGCAGGTGTATCCCCGCCAATGCTTCTGGATCAGTGTGGCAGAATTCTTCAGCTTCAGGAAGTTGGACCTGAAACAGCCGTGGTGATGGGGTGAATCTCAGAGCACAGAGCTAGGCCTAGACGCAGCTAGGGTACAACTGGCTTGGGATCAGGAAAGCACACTGGGACCTAGCTCTGTGATGCCCCAGCTGTGTAACCTTGGGCAAGACACAGACCCTTTCTGTGCCTCAGCATCCTCTTCTAGAAATAGGGTAGAATAATTCCCACTCTTCCTGCCTCAGATTTGTCACATGAGCCCATTAAGGCAGATGTTCAAAAGGTACTTGATAAAGGAGGAAGTGTCTGAACAAATTAGTAAAATAATGTAAAAGACTAATAAGAGCTTTCAACAGTCTAACTTTCAATTTTATTGATGAGGAAGCTGAGACTTGAAGTTGGGACTAGAGCCCCTGTCTGTCTGACTCTGAGGAGCTCAGTGCTGTCTTCCTGCACACAGTAGGCTGCTTCTTCAGAGAACAGTCATCTCCAGCCTGATGGAGGATGGAGAGACCACACATCAGACAGCAGTGTGTGTGGAAAGCAGGAAAAGACAGGGGGGTGAAGGATGCAGCCACAGCAAATGAGCCCCAGTGGGCGGGGATCAGTGGATGGATAGATACAAGAAGGGACAGACAGAAGAGAGCAGATGGACAGGTGAGTGGATACAGGGTGGGGGAAGGGCCACACGTACTGCAAAAGGGTCAGGTCATAGATTTGCATGGAGCTGAATCACATTCGAGTTAGTCCTGCCCATTTGTGAATCATCACAAGCGTACACACGTCTCTTACGTAAAATATGAGACGCACTTTGTAATTTATAAAATCTCAAGTTTCCTCTTTAGGAAACTCCACTGGCCTCGAGATGAACAGAGGGTGCGTGAGTGTGCCTCACGGCCTCATGTGCCCACGTGTGCCCACAGGACAGCGCACCGTTCCTTGGTTTACCTAGCATGGGGAACTTTGTGAATCTCACGTCTGGTTCCTCTGTCTGTATGAACATGTGTGTGCTTTCCAAGTGTGCACCGCAGTGTGCCTGTCCACTCCTGGTGTCCATGTGGGAGCATAGTGAGCCCCCTGGGCACACGCACCTTAACCTGGGCTGGGGTGGCAGGAGCTGTTGGGGGCACGAACCTGTCTTTGAACCCCCGGATGATCTTCTGGAGGAGGATGACTCTGTCAGTGATGGCCTTATCCCGCTCCACCTCCAGCAGCATGTCATGGTGATCCTGGAAGGCACAGCTCCTGAGCAGCGCCCAGACCCTCCAGGCCAGGCCTAGGGCTCAGGGGCGCCACCCAATCTCCCACACATGCTCGGACCCAAGGGTGGCCTCCCATCGCATCAGGGGCTGTGGAGGTTTCCAAGAGGCCCAGCAGGACCCACGGAGCAGGAGAACCATCATTTCCCTGGACAGGGTGATAGGGCCCATTCACACGCCCCCCCAGCTTTGCCCCATGGCCATCTCTGCCCAAGCAGAGACTTCCCAGGACCCTACCCAGGCCACTGTCATTTCTCTCCAGAATCCTGACAGCAGCTGACATTTCCAGCCCTTTCTCCTGCTAGCTCCTGACCCAACCCTCACTCCAGTTGGAAGAAGCCTCATTGGTTCATTCAACACATGAACAGAACATCTGCGCCATGCTGTGCTGGCTTCTGAGGGCAGTGTCACAGCAGGCCAGGCAGACATGGCCCTGCCTGTGGGCAGGTGAGACTCTCATAGGAGAGCCATCTCCACCAAACAATCCCAGACACACAGCACAGAGGAGCTGCTCAGTCAGGGCTTCTGAGGACGGAAGAATGAACGAGACTTCCACCTTTGACCTCTTAAAATGCCACCATTTCCAAAGAGCCCAGAAAGGTAGGGATGGAGATGATGATGCTCCTTCGAGTTTCCTGGCTCTAGATGACATGGTGCTCCCTGCCTGTCCTCCTCTGACAGGGCTGGATATTAGACCATCCTGGGCTAGAAGCCCTGCTCTCTGCATCCTAGCTGCCTGACCTGGTGATACTCACTTCTCCTTTCTGGGCCTGTGAAATGGGCATGCTTCCTACCCCACAGGACTGCGGGAGGACTTAATGAGATCACAGAAAGCCCCTCCGAGGCCTGGCAGAGGTGCTTTCCAGCCAGCGGCTGTGGGACACGCAGGCTGTGGACATCCAGAGGAAAGGAGGGCTCCGGAGATGAAGGGACGAACTCCGAGCCCCTCGACCCAAAAGGAATCAGACTAGACCCCAGACTCCCTCCCGCTGAGGTTCCTCTCCCTCGGCCAGCTGTCCTGGCCGTCCACCCCCACACTGGCAGGAGCCCTGCCCTGTTACCCTGGACAGCCAGAAATCTAACCCAGCGGAAATGGAAATGAGGAAGCCCACACTCCCTGCTCAGCTGCCCTTCCATGGCCCACTCACAGCAGCTCTCCAAGGCCGTGACTCCCAGGGCCAGCTTCCTGCTCCCCCCGATAGCTGCTCCGGCCTGTGGGAGCCCAGCTCCAGCTGCTGTGCTCTGGGAGGCTGGGAGGGGGCCAGAGATGGGCGGGCACCCAGGGTGAACCCCGCCTGCCAGGAAGTCACAGGAAAGGACCTAAGATACACTCTAGACCACCCCAGGCCATCTCTTTGTGTCGACAAGGAAAGGAAAGGAATGGCCTCACTCAGGACACTGGGATCCCAAATGCCAGCCTCCCTTCCCCTTGCCACCAAGGCCGCCTTACCTGGCCTGGCAACTCACTCTGTAGGGAGCCCTGGGACACCACCCATGGGAGTTGACAGCCCCCGAGGCAGCCTGGGGACGGAGATGTGCTCACCTTCAGAAAGATCTTGGTTTTGCCAATCTGCCAGTCGTCATGGGTGCCCAGCACAGCCTCAGCTATGCGTTGGCATGTCCCTCGGAGGTCGCCCTGGTAGGCACAAGGAAATGGACAGCCTCACCAGCAGGAAGCCCTCCAAGTGTCCCTCTTGAGGCTGGGAGGCAGGGCCCTCCCAGCTCTGCCCCGACTGGTCGCATGATCCAGGCAGGGACCCACCTTCTCCAAACCTCCATTTACTCCATGTGAAAGTCAGATAATGACCACCATGGCCACTGGAGCCCTCTGACTGTCCCACTGCCCAGCCCTCACCTTCTCAACACTCTCCGAGGTGGACAAGCAGATGTCACCTGATCAGCTCATTGACCCACTGTGAATCCAGGGCTCTTGCCCGGCCAGCACGGGAGGCCGACCCTCCCACCATCTGCACCTCAGACCTGGTACCTGCTTGTAGGCTGGCTTCACGCCAGGCAGCAGCATGCGGTACCGCTCCACGAACTCCACAAAGCTGTAGCGGATGGGGTAGCCGGCGCGGCGGATTCGGATGGTCTCCATCATGCCCGAGTACCTCAGCTGGCGCACACACAGGTGCCGGTCGAACAGCTGCCAGCAGAGCCAAGGGGTCAAGGTGAGCTGCTCCTGCCAGGAGGCCAGCCCTGCCCTGTGTTTAAGCAGCCCCACGCAAAGGCCTAGAGAGGCCAAGGTAACACGGCACAAGGAGCAAACCAGGGTGGGACCCAGGTGCACAGGTCACATCCACATGGCAGCGGGCAGTGAGGACCCCGTGGTGGGGAGCTGCACCATGTGGGAGCCCAGGGGAGACACGGGCTCAGGTTCCTGGGAGGCCCAGAGGGGGCTTCAGGGACGAGGAGTGGTATTCTAAGGTCAGGCGGGGTGGGGGGTGAGCCAATGCACAGAGTGGACATCTGAAAGGACCTAGTGGGGGACTTTGAGGGCAAAGAGGCTAGTCCAGGACAGTCCAGCCATGCTGGTAGTGGGTGCTCAGCAGTGTCCCAGGAGCCCTTCATGTGGCCATTGTAGATCTCTAGCTATTCAGACAACTTTCTGGCTGCTGACAATAGAGAAAAGGCACAGTTTTCTAACTTATGAAGCTGTTTCTGTGTCGACTGCAGGGCAGGGCAAGGCCAGCTCCGGGGGCTCACTGAGGGGACAGGGAGAGATGTGCATGGCAGATGTGGGGGCTGTGGGGAGCCACCAAGGTGGGGCTGGGGAGCCAGGGAAGGTGTGGAGCAGGGACAGACTAGATGGGCCTCTGAGAGTGCTGTCCCTAAAGTGTAGGGGTGGCCAGCAGGAGGCAGGAGACCAGTGAGGAGGCCCCTGCCAAGGTCCAGACCACAGACCAAGGTCCAGACCAAGGCCCCGGCTGACAGAGGGTTCCAGGGGTACTTCAAGGCCAGGGGAGATGGTGCCCTACAGTTCCAGCTTCAGTCCTCCTGGCCCACCTGCCCTGGAGGGAGAGATTGCTGGAGCCCTCGGACTCTCAGGCCCCTACAAACCAGAGTCCCCAAAGGGACAGGCGTCACCCACTCTGGGAAATGATTTCCTGGCGGGGACAGTGTGTGCGGATGGTAGACTTCCGCAGCCTGTTTCCTCTCCCTCTGGGCCACTTTCCCTGGCCTTCCTTCCCTCCCTCCCCGGACCCCAAGGGCCCCAGCTCTGGGTAAACAACACCTCCCAGAGCCTGCTGTGGAGGGACAGGGTGGGCACTGGCAGCCTGCAGGGCATAAGCCCCTCAATGTCCCTGAACACCCACGCATATCTCCAACCCAGGACAAGGGTCTGCTCCCTCCACAGAAAAGGCCCAATAAGTGTTAATCAGAAGAGTGAGGAGTGAGGACAGTCCCAGTGAGAGGAGCCAGGGGAGGTTTCCAGGAGGAGGGGGTACTTGCGCTGGGCTGAAGGGAGGGGTCTTTCAAAGGAGCACAGCCCCCAGCTGCCATCTACTGAGCGCTGTGTGCCCCGCAATCTGCCCACGTGATTGCACAGACTATGCCCAGGAGGTGGGTGTGATCGCCCCATTTCCTTCCACAAGGAAACTGAGGCATAAAGGGACTCAGAGACAGTCTCCAGCTAGGAGGTGGAAAGCTGGACTGAATCTTGCTCTCTCTGGTGCACCTGCCAGGCTCCAGTAAATGGGAGTCTAGTTCTATAAGCCCTCAGGTGCCGGCCACTCCCCAGAGAGGACAAAGTCTTGCATCATCCCCCGACCCTCGTCCACCCTCGGTCCAGCCTCCGGGGTCCCCTCGCTGCCATCCGCTCACCATGGGCTTCTTGAACTCGTTGGGCTTGATGCAGCGCACGAAGAAGGGCTGGCAGGCCCCCAGCGTGCGCATCAGCAGCTCCAGCGACCGCTTGAACTGGCTGCTGAGTGTGGGCGAGCGCTTCCTGGTCTCGGCGCCCTGGGGGGGATGGACAGACTGCAATGGGAGGGGCTGTGCCTGCCCCCTCCAGGCCTCCAGCGGCCGCCCCAGGGAAGCAGGAGGGGAGGTCAGGGGGCCAGGGCAGACAGCGTTTTCGTTTGAATCTGTTTTCCTTTGGTCGGGCTGCAGTTGGCCCCTAGACCTCCCCTCCAGGGAGCCTCCCGGGACCTCCACAGGTATCCCTCTAGGTTGCTCCCTTCCTGGTAGGCTGGGGGACTCTCCGCAAGATGTCAACCCTGCCTGAGTGTCATCCTCTCCTTCCCATGAAAATGGCCACCTCAGGACCCTGGGGCCATCTTAGAGACAGGGATCAGGCAAACCTATGTTGGAACCCTGGCCCACCGCTTCCAAGCTGTGTGGCTCGGGCAGATCATGAAAAGGTGCTAAACCTCAGTTTTCCAAGTGAAAATAATGTCATCTATCCACCTGATGGGGCAGTGAAGAGGGTCAGAGGTCAGGTGTGTTTCAATAAGCAGCACCCAGGGATGGTCACTGCAGGCCCTTGGGGACTGCGGGGGAGGAGAGGAGGAGCAGCCCTGACCTCCCCTGCTGTGGGATTAGCCAGAGGCCGCAGGCTGGGGGTGGGGCAGCGGGTCTGGATAATCTTCCTTAGAAGGCACAGAAGCTGGCTCCCCCAGTGCCACCCTCTCTGCACATCCTGGCCCTGCTAGGGTCCCCTCCCAGGTTACTGTGAAATAGGGGGAGCGCTGGAGAAGACCTGAGAGCAAATAAACAGGAAGCGAGCCTTCTCTGCTGACAGAAGCTGGAGAAGAAGCCAGGTTCTGATCCACAGCATTTCTGTTTTATTGTTCTGGTGATTTTCACTTGGGTGAGAAATTCTTATCGATACATTTGAGTATTATTGTAAGATTTTGTATTTGTATAGTTATAATGTCATGTCCTGTGCCAAAAATCAGGGTGCAGGTGTAGATGTGTGAGGTATTTGGAGGGCAGAGGTGCCTAATCCATACTAAATTTAGACAATATGCCACCAGGCTGTAATGAAACCTACCAAGAAACAGCAATTGCTTGCAATTCTGAAATCTGCAGGGCTTTCCATCTTGGTTTTATTGGGCATGCAGTCTAGGAGTCTGCCAGGGAAACTGGGAGTGGAATGATGGTCAGGTCTGTGGGGGCCACTCTAGAGCCACACACCTTTAAGTCCTGATGCACCCCAGGGATCTGAAAGATCACTGCAGTCTGGCACAGTAGTGCTGTGACTTGTGACTCGGTCTTTTCCCTCGATGGGATAGTAAGGTGTGGCCTGGGAGTGGCCCTAGGAATAGGCCGCACCCAGAGGGGTTGAGCTATGCTCCCCTGTTCCCTTGTAATCTCACTCCTTGCCTCATTTGAATGGCTTCTGTCCCATAAAAGAGTTCAGCACGTGCTCCTCTCTCTCTTTCCAAGGATCCCTAAGGTCAGAGCTGCTTTGGGGTCACAGGACCCAAAGAAAAAGGCATTTCTCTGTTTGTGGTGGTTATTTTGTGCAGCCCAGTTCACCTGGAGTGACCCTGAGTGCTTAGCTATGAGACGCAACACAGATCTGTGGCTCCAGAGTTGCCAAGGGACCCAGTCCAGCCACAGCACTGGGTGGCCTCCCTCTTAGCCAGGGAGCTGTCCAGGTCAGCCTGGACAGAGCCGACAGCAGAGCCCCTGACTGAGAGCACCTACAACCACTCCCAGACATACCCGGGACATCCACACAAGCGCCGCACACACCCTCCTTTGATTTTGACCGTTACTGGAGCTACTCTTCTCTGTCTGTCTACCCCGCCAGCTGTGAGCCCTGTGAGGGCAAGTAGGGCCCACCTTATTTACTGCTGGGCTTGGCACATGTAACAATCAGCACTTTCCTCAACTGAAGTGTTATCGAACTAGTTTCTAGTGTCATCCATGGGCTCACAGAAACTGCCCACCATCCCTCAGGCCCAAACGCTAGGAACTATCCTCAACACCTCTCCCCTCACATCCACTATATCAGCAGATCTCACTGGCTCCACTTTCAAAGTGTCTCCAGAGCCATGTGTGATGGTGTATGACTGTAATCCCAGCGACTAGGGAGGCTGAGGCAGGAGGATTGCAAGTTCGAGGCCAGCCTCAGCAACTTAGCAAGACCCTCAGCAACTTAGTGAAACCCTGCCTCAAAAAATAAATAAATGAATAAAAAGGACTGGGAATGGGCTAGGGTTGTGGCTCGGAGGTGGAACGTTCACCTAGCCTGTGTGAGGCACTGGGTTCAATCCTCAGCACCACATAAAGTAAAATAAAGACGTTGTGTCCACATATAACTAAAAAATAAATATTTTTTAAAAAAGGACTGGGGGTGTAGCTCAGCAGCAGGATGCTCAGTCTCCACTATCAAAAACCACACATATATTTCTCCAGAAGCTCACCCCTTCCCACCACTTTCTCTGCTATCAGCCTGGTCGGGGCCCCAGCCTCACTTTCTCCCATTATTGTGTTAACTCCTAACCGGTCTCCTTGCCCTGTCACCCACACTCTACACCCCTCCTCTCCTTCCACACAGCAGCCAGGGAGCCTGTTAAAACAGTCCAGTCACATGTCTCCCTGACCCAAAACCTCCAGGGTCTCCCAATAGTGAACAGAGTGCTGTAGGAAGGACCAAGTCCTTGTAAGAACCCACAATGCCCAGTGGATCTGTTTCTCTAGGCTACTCCACTTGTTCACCCTCTTGCAGTCACCCCAGCCTCTGGACCCTGCCAAGCAAGCCTCAGGCAGCACCTCTGGGCCTTTGCACAGGCTGCCCCCCTCCAAGCAAAGCCCTCCCTCTAGAGCATGAGCTGGCCTCCTGGCCTCCCTACCAGCCTCACAGTGAGGCCCTCCTGGACTTCTGTGCATAGCCACAGCACCCACCACCTCCTTCCTCCCTCCCTCCTGGGTCCTCCCCACACCACTTACACTAACTTGGCACACTGTCCTTATTCATTGTCTTATTAACGATTTCCTGCTTCTCCTAGAACACAAGTCCCAGGAGGACAGAGAAGTGTTTTTTTTTTTTTCTATTTTGTTCACTATTGTGTGTCCAGGACCTGAGACAGTGTCGGGCACATGGGGGCACTCGGTAAATATTCATGGACTGAACGGGAGCCTGAGGCTCTGGGGCCTGCTCTCCCATCTTAGGCATCTGGGTTTCTGGTGGGGTTCGATTTCCTTGAGGGAAATCCTGGGAGTTGTTGTTTTCTGGGATAATCTGCAGATGGTGAGGATGACTGAAAAGTCAGGAGGTCCATATCAAATGGCTCCACAGAAGCGAGCCAAGGGGGACAGGCGAGCCTCAGGTGGAGGGCCCCCTGCAGGCTGCGTTGATGTTAATCAGGGTGTACTTTGCCCTGGGGCACTGCCCTCAGGGCATGACTGTCCCTACACCAACCAGGACTGGGTGGGTCAGCAGAGGAGAGTCAGAGGATGACAACCTGGGGAGTGGGCCTGCAGATCACTGAAGGGGGTGCTGTGGGCTCCCTCCTGAGGAGAGCCTTGTAGCTGCCACACTGCCACTTGGCCGGCTGTGACCTAATGTTTCACAATCCACCAAGCCCTTCCTTCCCCTTTAAGAGAGAGATCGTGGTTCCAGCCCTTAGGAAGCGGTTTCTGTCCCAGTTGTGACACACAACGCGATGAACAGCAGGGACTAGGAAAACCACACTTCAGCCCTCACTTGTGTGTGGCCTTGGATACATCCCTGCACTGCACAGAGACACAGCTGAGTTCTAATCGCTGCGTGTCACGAGCTGTGTGACCTGGAGCAAGTGCCCTGGCCTCCCCAGGCCCCACTTCTTTACCTGTAAAGTTGAGTGACGGGTTGCAAGAGGTGGTGATGTAAGTGCTCCTGACAGGAGCTAGCTTAGCTCACAGCCTGGCCCAGACGAGTGGCCCAGGAGATGTGACCGAGGCCCACTGTGTCACTGCTGTACCGTAACCTCAGCTTCTGAAGGCCCCTCAGGAATGGAGGGAGGTCAGGGGAGTCCTCAGCAAACAGGTGCTCACCTCAGGGAGGGAGCCTCCGAACAGTAAGGACACATAGAGGCTCCAGCACCTCCAGGAGGTTGGAAAGAAAGGACAGAGAGAAGAAGGCAGGAGGAGAAGACAGGGTTCAACAGGTGTGCAGAGACCAGGGGACAGACGGTGGCAGAGCAAAGCATCTGGGAACAGGAAAGAGAAGAGCTCGGAGGACCCCGAGCCACACCTGCCTCACCTACAACACCTGAGCCGTAGGTCAGATGGGTGGGGGCCTGGGTGCTGGAGCCTCAAGCGCCTAGGAGCCCTCTTCCTGAGGTTACTGCTGCCTGCACCTCATTTGCCTGGATCTGTGTGTGTGTGTGTGTGGTGTGTGTGTGTGTGTGTGTGTGTATGCACATATGTGTGTGATTGGGGGGACAGAGGAGAGGGGCCACCATACAGACAAGTTCCCTGCCCCTGACATGCTAGGTTCCCTGACCTGCTGTTGGAGGGCTTCTAGATTGTTCCTGCACTCTGTGAGGCTCTGGCAGCTGGGGAAGGAGGGGCCCGGCATTAGGCCACATGTGGGGGATGTCAGTGTTGGGCAGAGAGGAAACTGAATTGAGAAAAGGGAGGCAAAGGGGAGGCAGTGCCACACTGTGCTAAGGGACACCTGGCACCTTTGGAATCTGAAGCACCTCGGGAGCCACAGCCTGAAGGTGGCAGAAAGGACACACAGGCAGTGGTGGCCCCTGATGTCACATCCCTCTCTCTCTGACCTCAGCCTCTCATCTGCAAAATGCAGAGAAGACCACCTGCGTCCCCTGCGTCTGAGATCGTCAGAGGCCCTGAAGAGCCACCAGGGCCTGGTGGAGGAGCAGCTGAGGGGCGGGGGCAGGAGGTGGGGGCTGGAGTCCTGGCTCTGCCTTAGCTCCTGGTGCCCCCTGCGCAAGGCCTGCCCCTCTTCCTGGACTCGGTTTCCTCCTTTATGAAACCGAGACAGCTACAGCACACACAACTCGAAACCCAAACCAAACCACTCCAAAACCACTCCACAGAAAACACACTCCACAAAAGGGGGAAAAGCCCCACTCTTTCCCCACGCCTCTGCCCCACGGGGCCGAGGCCTCTCCTGCCATCCTGCCCCCGGCTGAGGCTTTACCTTGGTGGAAGCCGCTGCCTGGCGGAGAGAGCCGGAGGAGTACCCACAGAGAAACTACAAGGGGAACCACAGGGCAGGTGAGTGGACGCACGGGCCAGGCCAGGTCAGCAGACAGAGGACCCAATGCACCGTGGACAGAGGGAGGCCCTCGGGCACAGGCCTGGGGTCCTGGCCTCTCTGTACGGCTGGTGTCCCGAAGCAGCTCGGTCACCTGCACAGGTGCTGAGGGGGTGGGGACTCTACCCTCCCCGTGAGCCCTTCCATGCATCCTCCAGGAAAGAAGAGAAATGTGGAATAACAGGGCAAACAGGAGACCGGCCACCTAGTCAGCCAGCCTGGGGACTCAGGAGAGGGGTGGGCAGTCTTCCTATCTCCTGTGCAGGGTCTGAGTGTCACTGCATGCCACACCCATCCCATCTCCTGAGGTGGGACCTGCTCCCCTCATTCCCATTACCTGCTGGAGGTTGGGGGGGCACCCCCTTGGGAAATCCAGGTTCTGCTCCGTGACCTCTCATGTGGCCCTTCTCTGGGCCTCGTACCCCAGCCACACCCCCAATCACCACAAAAGGACCAGACGGGAGCATCTTGAAGACCTCTGCAGGTCCCTTCTGGAACCTCAGCAAAGCCCTGTCCTTGCTCTGTGGCCCTAGGAGCTCCTCTGATGGACAAGGGTTGGGCCTAGACCCAGGCCTGGCTTCCGGGGCCCGCACTGCCCAGTGGAAAACCCGCTGGCTTTACCATGGCAACGTCAGCCTGGAAGATCTGCTTGATGAACTTGTTCCGTGAAGAGTGGACTAGCTGGATGATGTCCCCATGCAAGGTGTCCCGGTTCTTTTCCAGGAAGCCTGGCAGTGGGAAAGAGCAGTCAGACCTCACCAGCTGTGGCAGTCCCTGAAAACCAGACTCATGCCTCCCCGAGACCAGCAGTGACTGAGCCACGAGGACCCTCAAGATACACCTAGTTTACCCAGGTCCATTTCACAGCGGGGGACACTGAGACCTACAGTTGACAGCATCTTGTCCAAGATCAGAGAAAGTGAGGGACTGTCCCCCCACCCACACTGGCCCCCTCTCGGCCTGTCCAAGAAGGACCGGAGGTCTTGGTCTCTGGGAGAGGACTGCATCACCTGCCTGACTGAACCTTCCTAGGCCACCATGAGTCTTTTGAACCAAGGTTTCAAAGCCCTGGAGAGAAGACACACCCACCCAGTACAAGCTAACAGTATAGGAACCAATGAAAACTACCTCATGGTTGAACAGTACATATGCTTTACAAAGTGTCCTCACAGCCCCCTACATATATGGGTCATCTTCCCCGTCCAACAACGGAGAAACTGATGCTCAGAGAGGCTAAGAGAGTAATCTAACACCACACAGCCTGCTATGGCAGAGTTAACACTCAAACCCAGGACTCCTGGTGCCAACCCGGGCAGGGCCCTGCACCAGAAAGACCCCAGAGGCAAGAGCCATTCCAGTACTGAGGAGTTAGGAAATGGTTAATGGGGATCTCTGCTAGGGATGGGAGGCCCACAGGCTGGGGATACCTGGCAGGAGAGGACAATGCCCCCGAGAAACAGGAGGTATACCCAGATGGCAGATGGCACAGAGGCCCAGTGTTGGGCTGCCCACCTGGTGTCTGGGGATGGGTGAGTCGCAGGAGGCACACAGTAATGGAAGGAGGCACTTGTGCTGGGATGGAGTGATAAGGCTCTAGGACAGCTTCACTGTGTGACTTTAGGGGTGTCCCCTTTCTGGGGCCCCAGTGTCCTCAACTGTTAGATGAAAGTGGTAAAGCCTGTCACTGTGGTGCGGCCCACTGAGGCATTAAGACTTCTGGATCAATTCAGTGAGGCAGTGTGACCCAATGCCTCCGAGCTTGTTTTGAATGCCCTTGACCTTTGACCATGGGTGGGATCTTTGGAGCTGATTGGCAGGAACTCAGTGTAGATACACCTACAACAGACGCCAGTGTGCGGTCAGCACTTTATACCAGGATGGAAGAGGCGGGACACTAGCAGGCCATAGTCTTTCGACCAGTTCCTGTGAAAATTCCGCGTGGGAAGAGCCTGTGTTCCGGTGCCTCTTCCCACCTTCTAGCTTTGAAATGAACCCAGCTGTGCATCCTCAGGAGGAAAGACCATGTGTGTGCATCCCTTTCAATTCTCACACTGGGTCTTGTCGCTGGAGAGACTAGTGGGTAAGGGGCTGTTTCCAGGCCTGGTTTTGAGACTAATAGGCTGTGCCATGACATGTCAGGACAGTCAACCCGTCTTCTGAGCCTGTCTCCTCATACACAAAAGAACATAGAGCCTTCCCCAAAGAATTGAAAGCAGGGACTCGGACCCTCATACACCAATGTTCACAGCAGCATTATGCACACAAGTGTTCATTAACAGAGGAACACATCAGCAAAATGTGGTGGAGCCATTCCCTGGAATACTATCCACCATAAAAATGAATAAAATCTATGCATGCTGCCACATGGATGAACCCACTGCGCTAAGTGAAATGAGCCAGATGCAAAAAGAAAAATATTGCTGGGTGCATTGGTACATGCCTGTAATCCCAGCGACTTGGGAGGCTGAGGCAGGAGGATCACAAGTTTGACACCAGCCTCAGCAACTTAGTGAGACCCTGTCTCAAAATAGAAAAATAAAATAAATAAGGATGTTTGGGGATGTAGCTCAGTGATACAGCACCCCTGGGCTCAATCCTCAGTACCAAAAAAAAAAAAACAAAAGGATAAATACTGTGAGAGAGTCCACTTAAGTGCTCAGAATGGTCAAATTCATGGACACAGAAAGTAGAGGGAGATGATGAGGGGTGGGGTGGGGGAAGGATGGAGCTGTTGATAATAGGGGCAAAGCTCTGTGTAGGTGACAGAAAGGTCCAGAAACTGGATGGTGGTAAGGGTGGCCCAATATTGTAAATGTGCCTAATCCACTGAATTGGTAAATTTTATATTATATATACTTTACTGCAATTTTAAAATATATTAAAAAAGAAAACTCTGGAAAAACAAACAAAGAGCACTTTTTCTAAGGTCTCCTCCCTCCCTCTCTGTATCCCAGGACCCTAAGGCCTCTCTCCTGGGTAGGATTTAGGGACACAGGCAGACGCAGACACCCTAGAGCCTGCCCACACCTTGGGTTTCGTAGTAGACTATGCCTGCAAAGTGATTGATGCCAAACTGGGTCTCGTGGTTGTTCTTGGGGGGCACGTAGTTGGTGTTGAGCTTGTGCTGTGAGTTCAGCTTGTACAGCATGGTGGTGTCCGTGCCCTGCAGGGACAGAAGGACCGCTGAGAGCCACCCCCTCCCCAGGCCCCCCCTCCCTCTAAGCCCGTGGATGCATGGCCCCTTGTGTCTTTAAACCCGACTCAGGAGCTCGAGGACCTTTGCCTCCCGTCTGTGAAGTAGGTGCTTTGGAACCCTACAATCTTAAAAGAACATTCCAGAACATCTCTTCCTGGGATTAAAATCCTGAGAGCTATCTCCCTTCTCCTCCCTGACTCCAAGACATAGTCTGTGTCTTGAAAATCTATCCTGCACCAACTGTGTGCTTGGATTTTTGTTGTCTGCCCGGGGACCCAGGGGACAGTGGGCGATTCCCACACGTCAGGCGGCTCTACTGGAGTTGACCCAAAGCCACCCTGAGAGGCAGGTGTCACGAGTCTCATGTTACAGATGAGGAAAGCTGAGGCTCAGAGTGGGGAAGGGACCTGCCCGCTCTCCGGGACCCCGTGGGCTGTGGCCCACCTTGGGGAACTTGCTCTCTTCATCGATGAGGGAGATGATGTTCATGGGCTTGTTGGCGATCATGTCCAGGGCTTCCTGGTTGTCGGTGAACTCGATGTGCAGCCAGTCGATGCTCTCCAGGTCATACTCCTCCTGCTCCAGCTTGAACACGTGCCGCACGAAGAACTGCTGCAGGTGCTCATTGGCAAAGTTGATGCACAGTTGCTCGAAGCTGCGGGGACACCGGGGACTGTGAGGGGGTGTCGTTCAGGCCCCCGATCTGCCACCCAGCGGCTGCTCTGCCTCGATCTGTAGCACGTTGCTCCTGTCAGGGCCTCTGGGGCCTCCAAGGCGAGGCTGGATTGTCAAGGCCACCCCTCCACCTGCAGTGGAGGATGCTGAGGCCCAGCAAGGGCAAAGGACTTGCCCAAGGTCAAATGACAGGTGAGACTTCAGATCAGGTCCATGGAGAGGCCTGTCAGAGCACCCAAGAGTGGGGAGCCAAGATGCTGGGGAGGTGGACCATAAAGTGTCATTGAGAGGTGCGAGGGGGCTGACAAGTTGGCAAGCAGAGCCTCGAGTGCTGACACAGCCAGGGCCACACAGCTAGGCAGTGGGCCAGAGCTGGCTGTCCCCAGTCCCACTTGTGCCACCACCAGTCCCTTTCATGGCCCTCAAGAGGTACAGGTCCCCAAGGGTGGCTGAGACCCTGGCTCTCAAGCTTGGTTCAGCTTCACCTGTTTCAAGGCACCCTGCAGCTTGGACTCTGGGTGGTCAGCAGTGGCTATGGGGCCTGGGGACCAGAGGCTACCTCCCGTGTCCAGGACCATGTAAGGGCTTTCCCCTACCACCTGGGCTGGCCTCAACTGACCCTGGGGAGGAAAGGGAGGGAAGAAAGACCTCCACATGACCAAAATCAAAATTTCCAAGAGCCTGGAGCCTCATCCATGTGGTTTCACGGGAGCAACGGGATAGTTCTCATATACCATGTTACCCCTCCTCCCTCAGCAGAGTCCCTCAAGATACCTGTTCACAGTAAAGTTCTCAAACCCAAAGATGTCGAGGAGGCCGATGGACCGGCGGGAGTTCTTCACTTCCTGGGAGGGAGGCTTATAAATCGCCACGTTGATCTTGTCCACGATCCACACAAAGAGCCGTCCATAGATGCCCTGAAAGGTGGCCACACCAGTCGCACCTCCCCTCTGGGGACAGCAGGCTTCTGGACCTATGTGGCCTTGCCCCACCCTGGCTGTGGAATGACATGCTGTTTGAAAGCCCCAGGCCCCTCCTCACACTGTTCCCTCACTCCCTCCTGCTGGGACAATTCCCACTGCGCTCTGTTCAGACAGCAGCCTGAGAGCCTTCCCCAGCCCAGCAGGCTGGAAAGGAGTCCTGGGGCGCCCACCTCTCCATCCATCTGTCTCCCCAGAGCCTGGGGGACTTGGTGAGTGGCAAGAATGTGAATAGGAATAGGGAGGACTCGGGGCAGGTCAGGTGGGTCCGTGTCTTCTGCAAAGACCAAAGAAGGTGTCCCCTGGATGGGAAAGCTGACCAAAGCAGGCTAAGGGTCTAGGGCCTGAGGGGGGAGCTGGGAAGGCCCCAGGAGCACAGTAGCCACCTCTGATGGGATATATGGACATGTGGGGCTCAGAGGGAGGCGGGTGGTGCCAGCCTGGTCTCCAGCCCAGGGCAGGTGGGGAGCGAGGCCAGCTATGAGGACTCCCCCGTCCTGCCCACCAATAACCCAGCCTCCACAAAGGGCCCACCTTGACAAAGGCGTCTCGCACATCCAGCGCCTGCTCCATGCTGAGCGGGGTGGACACGGTCTCCCCACGGGTGATGAGGGTGCGGCTTGTCAGGCAGCCCATTAGGTTTGGAGGGTTCACCTGGTGCAGACACGCAGGTGCTCACCTGCCACCCGTCTCTCCCCCACCCACAGCTGGACTCCCCTCCCCCTTCCCACCCGGCCTGTTCCAGAATGTTCCCTCCACTAGGAATGCCCTTTCCCATGGCCTCAGCCAAATGCTTCCCACCATCAAAACCACCCAGATGCTGCCTGGAAGGACTTTCTCTCCCTGACAGTCCCTCTCAACCCCACCAGCATGTTACCTGTCCCTTTTAGGACCAGATCCAGCTCTGGCTTTATTTATCCCAGTTTCCCAGCCCAGGTGATAAGTGCCTGCTGAGCATGACAGATGGCACTGATGCACTAGGGCCCTTGACCCAGAAATGCAGACTGAGAGCCCAGGATGCAAGGACATACAGGCTCACACGGCCCAGAGCATCACAGGGCCCCCAGCTCAGGCCTCCTGGCCCCCACAGTGTCCCAGGGCACTAGGCTGCAAAGGGCCAGCAAGGCTCCAGGCTCTGGTTCTGCTCCCTGGGACCCAATCCCTGAACACATCTGGTTCTCAGTGTTGAGCCTAAATAACCCTCCCTACCAGGGGCTCCGACAACCTGGTTCCCACATCCCAGCCGCCAAGCTCCAAGTCAACACTGTCTTCAGAGGGACAGGAGCAGGAGTGGCTACGAGGCCAGCACTGACCTCGAGCAGTGAAGCAGCTGTGGTCAGCGATGGGGAGAAGAGGACCTCACAGGCGTCCAGGTTTTCAAATGTGCGGGCTACGGGCAGCAAAGGAAGCAGTGTCAGGCAGGAAGGATTGGCAGAGGGGACAAGAGGACAGTCCTAGGAGGACCAGGCTGCCACGACTACCCTCGGCACCTGCTCTGTCCCCAGAGGGCATCAGTACCATGACTAAGTGCCTCTCTGGGTCAATGTATGTTTGATGAGTGTTCTTACCAAGAGCCTGTGGGCACCATGAGGGTAGGCACCCTGGATGCTAGCACCTGGCATCTAAGCAGCAGACAGCAGCTGCACCTCTCAACCTCCACCCCACGCTTCTGGAGCATCAGCCTCAAGACCTTTGCACATGCTCTTCCCTCTCCCTGATTCACCCTTTCTCTTAATCTTTCAAGATTCACAAATGCTGACGGCCTTCATGCTGAGATCACTCATTCATGGAGTGAATTTCCCAGAGCTTCTACTCTGCCCAGGACCCATGCTGGACACCAGGGGAAGAGCAGAATGGGAGTCAGTGCCTGCCTCAGGGGACCATCTCCTCTCCAGGTGTAATGATACCCAGGGAGGGTCAGATATGTGAGCCTGTTCCCTTCCCCGGTCTTCTTCCTTTCAGAAAATGGCTAGTTGGTCACTCATACTTTAGTATGAACTAGTTCAAAGATTAACCCTCTAAGACATTTAACTGTAAAAAAGAAACCAAGTGGGGAAGGGGTCTTAAAAGGCCATGGTCAACTCCTAATATAACTTCACCTGTATCCCACCGTGGTGGAATTTCTCACAGTGCTGCCACACCTAAGGCTGATGTCAGGGCGGCAGAGCTCTCCAAATCTCCCAAACCTACATCCCAAAGAGCGTACTCACTGGCACAGAAACCATACCACCAACAGCCCACGGGCAGCCAGGTGCCATGCCGTGGCACAGGGCTGGGCACCACGCAGCCTCACCCTCGTATTGCAGGTTGCCCAGGTGCAGGATGGCAGCCAGGAGCTTGGAGATCTCCCAGTTCTCCGTGTCGGTGAACATGAGCACCTTCATGGCGGAACGGATGTTGGCGTACTCCTGGCTGTCCACCCGGCCCTCACAGGTTATGCAGTTACCCTGGGGGGCAAAGGGGAGAGTGGAGAGCAGGAGGGCATCAGGAAGACACGGGGACCCAGGAGGCAGCACCTGAGCAGAAGGGTCGCTTCTGCCAGACCAGCCCAGGGCTCGTGCCCTGACCCCTCCAAGTGAGCACCAAGTCTAGAAAGTCTAGAAATTTCCTGCCTGGGCTTGACGAGAACACACTTCCCACAAGTGAGAGGAGCCAGGCCACAGATTCCAGGCCTGCCCCTGTCACCTGCCCAGCACTCACAGCACCAGGCCCTACCAGGCTACCCGTCAGTGGCTTGATGTCTTCCCAGGTGGGAGAGGGAGGGGATCTGCAGGTGGGGTTTACCCTTTGCTGTGTATGTCCAAGTGTGCCTGGAAGGCCTGTCACTCCACAGCACACACCTCAGGTGCTGGAGCCACGCTCATATCCCTGTGGCCTGGCCAGGCTCTCCCCAGGGATGTGTACATGGCCCCCAGGTCCCCCACCCCATGCTGGGTGGCAGTGATGGCCCCAGTGCCCACTTCTCCTTGGTGTCCAGACAGCAGCAAGAAGCTGGCACCAGACCCTGTCACCAGCAAGCTCTCAAGGCTGAGGCCTCAGCAGCCAGCTCCCTGCAATCCTGGGGCACCTGGCAGAGGGCCCTGTCCTCATGTCCTCAAAGACAACACAAAGCTCATGTGCATGGCCAGGACCGTATGCAGACCTCTTCAAATGCGTGGACACGTGGGTGCGTATGTCCATGTGTCCCTGCATTGGAGTCTATGTGTAAGAGCCTGCCTGTGGTAAGGATTCATTGAGATGTAAGAGCAAGCTGGCCTGTGTCCAGGGGGAGGGACAGGCTATGGCATAGACAAGCCCAGATAGGCTGGGGCAGGTCAGGGGACAGGAGCAGGTCCACATGGAAGTTCCTACCACCAGGCCTGGGGCAGGGGCTGTGTGGGTGTGGTCTGGATCTGCCCCCACCTCACTCTAACAGGTGTCCCCTCCTAGGACAAGTGTCCCCTCCCCAGGGTGCCTGCCTGGGACTCACCATGGCCAGGTAGTTGTAGTCAGTGGCCCGGCCCAGGCCCAGCTTCTTCTTCTGCTCCTGGCTCATGCCGGCCAGCATGCAGTAGAACACGTGGTAGTTCCTCTCATCCGGGGCCTGCAGCGTGGGCAGAGGTGAGGGGGCCGGAGGAGGCCATCAGGAAACAGAAGGTCCAAGAGGGGACCTAGCAAGTGGCTGTACCGGGGAGCTGGGGCTTCCACAGTGCAGCAGAACGGGGAGGTGAGCACCTGCCAGAGATGGGCAGATGGTGTGTGCCCGCCCACTGAGGCTGGGGTTCTGTGCCAAGGAAGGACCGAGTCTGATCCCGCACCCCAGGGCCCACCTGGCGACAGACACGCGACTTCTCCAGCAGGTACTGCTCGATCTTGGCGCCCTCGATGGCGCCCCGAGTGTTGAAGTGGATGTCGATGTACTTCCCGAAGCGGCTCGAGTTGTCGTTGCGGATGGTCTTGGCGTTCCCAAATGCTGCGGGCGGGTAGAGGTCATGGGCAAGGCCGGCTCATCCCCACCCCACCCTCCAAGCCCTGGTCTTACCTTCCAAGATGGGGGTGGCCTCCAGGACCTGCTGCTCGATCCAGGAGTGCTGCCCACTGATGGCTGCCAGGAACTGCAGGATCAGCTTCGTGCTCTCTGTCTTCCCTGCGCCAGACTCCCCGCTGCAGAGGAGGGGGAGGCGGGCCAGGCCTCAGCCCAGGCTGAGACACGCAGCAACCCTGTCTGTGCTATGACTGACAGCTGGACTCTCCAGGGCTGGGGAGGGCTAAAGGAGACCAGGGCTCTGCCATGCCCACCAGCAACCCTCCATCCCTGCATTCAGACACATACTCCCAACTCCACCTGTGCTTGCCACAAGCACAGCACACATTAGCTGCTCAGTCAAAGCCTTGGCCTTTTACTCTCTGCCCAAGAGAAAAAGGGAATCTGAGATTTCAACTAAGCATACAGGAGCCATCAGTAGGGGGCAGGGTTGGCTTTAAAAGCTAGCGTGAGCTTGGTAGCATTAATGGAGATGTAAGACCTGGGAAAAGGGAGGAGATTCTCTGTGCTATATGCAATGGTTCCTGAGGCATTCTGGGGCATTTCCTACGACTGCGGAGAGGAGGCTGCCCACCTGATGATGCAGCACTGGTCACGACTGTTGCGCTTCATGCTGAAGTAGCAATTGTCAGCGATGGCAAAGATGTGGGGGGGCATCTCCCCAATCTTCTTGTTGGTGTACTGGCGGATGTGCTCTGGAGAGTAGATGGAGAGCAGCTGGTAGGGGTTCACAGCCACCAGGATGGAGCCCGTGTACGTCTGCGAGCAACAAGTCAGGGTGAGCTCTCAAAGTCGGACTCTAGACTGACTCCAGAAAGCTCCCAGCTCTGTCTGCTCCATCGCAGAAGGAAAAGCACTGGCTCTAGAACCCCACAGACCTGGGTAGGGTCCTGCCTCCTTAGGAGCAGGGACAGGGCCTTCAGGCGAGCTGTGGGCCTGAAGACTGTCCAGTCTAGCCTTCTAGACTAGCAAAATGACATGTGACAACTTTATGAAGATTAAAGGAGTTTTTTTGTGTGTGTGAACCTAGAGACTGAACCCAGGGCTTCGTACATGCAAAGGAAGTACTCCACCACTGAGCTGCATCACCATCCTTTTTATTTTGAGACAAGGTCTTGCTAAGTTGCCTAGGCTGGCCTTGAAATTAAGATCCTCCTTCTTCAGCCTCCCAAGCTGAAGGATTATTATGCCGTGCCTGGAGAGATGATATATTTTAATATATACAGCACACAGTAGGTACACCTTAAATATTGGCTCCCAACTTTACCTCCAAACCCTGCAACCATACTTTTAGAGTGAAATTAATAAATTGGACCTTGTCCAGAGGGGAGACAGGGTGGATGTGGGAAAGGGAAATAAGTCAAAAAGAGCTGAAGGATCTGGGCACTATGTCAGCTACTTGGGAGGCTGAGACAGGAGGATTGCAAGTTTAAGGCCATGTAAGCAACTGAGTGAGACCCCATCTCAAAATAAAATTTTAAAAAAGTACTGAGGATGTAGCTCCATGGTAAAACACTTGCTTTGCAAGCACAAGACCTGGGTTCAATCTCCAGAACTGAAAAGAAAAATAAATACATAAAAGGAGCAGAAGGGGCTGAGATGTGTGGCTGGGGGCCTGTTCTCTGCAGCACTGCCCCAGGGCCGAGGGAGCCTCTGTGCTCAGGGGACAGAGCACCTCCATCTGTTAGGTGGCATAGGCACAGGGCCCGGTGCCTTCTGGAAGTTCTCTCTACGAGGACACCTCTGTGGGTGCGTGGATTGCCCATCCATGGGCAAGATTTCCCATTATGAGCATGGGCCCTGCCACACAAGGGACAGCAGGGCCTGGCCCCTGCTATCAGAGCAGGGAGAGGCATTCGGGAATGACCCTCCCTACTCCCACCCAAATCCAAAGCTTGGAAAGGTCAGGCCCAGCCTGTGATTGGTGATGGATGTATTGACATTTAAGACCTGGAGAAGCTGAAGAAAAATGTGTCCCTACAGGCGAGGTGACAGTCTCGCCTGTCCCCACCCCCTTAGTGACACCAGAGCTGCCACCATGCTCCAGCAGCCTCAATGAAGCCATGCGAGGAAAGCAAGGCCCTCAGCATCTCAGGCCAGGGTAAAGCCCACCCTGGGCCAGGGGAGGCTGTGCCAGGCAATCCTGGCCCATTTCCAGGCCTGGCTCTGACCCCCAGACCAGGAGCCCTGGCCAGACACACCCTTCTCCCCGCCCAGGGCTCCCCTTTCCCACCAAGCCTCATCCAAGCAGCCCCAGCCAGAAGCAGGGACACGCAGTGCTGACTCCCTGTAGCAGGGCCAGGCAGGAGGAGAGGGGGCGGGGAGCAGGAGGCAGAGGGGGGCCAGGGAGCAGCCCAGCCAAGTGAACAAGCCCAAAGAGCCTCAGGGGTCTCCGCGCCACACTCACCCGCCCTCCACAGTTAGTCTGAGGTTGCAAAGTTTCGGAGAAGGAGAAAATGGAACCGGTCAGTGGGAAACAAGAGAGCAGGGCATTCTCCATGGACAATACTCCTGTGGCCAGGCTGGGCTGACGGACCAGGTGGGGACCTCAGCCACCTCCCTCTACAACTCAGTCCTGCCCAGCTATAGGAAGCAGCTAGAGTGACCTCCAGGTGGGGAACCTGCCTAGGAGGAACCGGCCACAGAGAACATGCCCTGGGCAACCCCTGCTCTGCTCATCTGTAAACCAGCACCCCCTCTCAGATTGCCATAAAGACTAAAGGACAAGGACTTAGCCTTGCCAGGTGCCTGGGACATGAGCTTGCTATTACTTCCTGCTCATACATGCTGCTCCTCTGTTTGGCCGTCACCATGGGCAGGAGGCTGACTCCCGCTGTCTCCCCACAGCCCTGGGGAGGCTGAGCCATGGGAACTCACATGCAGCTCCTGGGTTCCTCAAGGTGGGTGTTGGGGGACTGTGAAAGCCACAGGACTCGCCAGTGGGTATCAAGCACAGAGGCAGGGGCATGGAAGGGCATGACATTTGGGAGGTCTGTTGGAAAAGGTCACCCTAGCAGCCGTGAGGGACAAACAGCGGTCACCAAGAATGGAGGCAGACACCCTTTCAGACCTAATGAGCCAGACAGAGTCAGACAGTGACACTGAGAAGCTCAGTAGCCAAGTTTAGGACAGGGACGGTGACAAGAAAGGGACATGGGAGACACTGAGACACCATGAAGAAACTTCCTGGGCCGGGGCTAGACCCTCTTCTCCCGCTCATGGCTCCTGTGGTCCTCTCCTGGACATAGGGCCCTTCGTTCCCCCACCTCCTGGAGGTCCCCATTTGATGTTCAGCAGCAGGTGGGTGCCCGAGCTCCCCCTTCCCTCCACTGGCTCCCCCTCAACCCCCCAACGCGCCCACAGAGCCTCCTCCCCCTCCGTCCAGGGCAGGGACCTGGGAGGCCCCAGAACCTTCTGCCCCCTCTCCCTCCTTCCCTGGCGCAGGCCACGCTCATTCCCAGCAGTCCACTGTGGGGGTCCTCTGGCTCCCACACTTGTCCCTGCCGTCCCTCTGTGTCCCACTCAGAGCCGGGGTGGGCTTTGAAAAGATCTGACCATGTTATCCCTCCAGTGGTTTCCCACGGCCTTGGGGCAAAGTCCACGTCCCTTCCCTGCCCACAGGGCCCCAAGCCCTGGCCCCTGCTCCCACAGCCGGGAGGCCTCCCTGTTAAACCTTGGGGCCAGGAACGCACTTCCCACGCCCTTCACCCCGCTAATTCCTTCTTATCCCTCGGGTCCAAGCTGACATGACACCTCCTCCAGGAAACAGCAGTCCTGTGACCCGTCTTGCCCCACACAGTCCCTTCAGTTCACGGCCCTGACACCTCCATTGTTCTGGTTCAAGGCCTCTGTCCCCAGTGCCTGGCACCACATAGGTCACATAGGACACACTCAGCAGTGTTTGCTGAGTGGCTGAAAGCGTGACTATTTTAATGGGCCAGAAACTAGCAGAGAGGGGCTTCAGCACCCTGAGGCAGCCCTCGCCACACTTCAGGGAGGGGCCCCAAAGGCGGCTAAGGGCAAGGCGGCCAAGAGTGTAGAAGGAAATGAAAACTTACACACACACTCACACCACACACATACACACATGCACACTCACACACACACACACACTCACACCCCCCCACACACTCACACACACACTCACTTGTAGTCTTTCGGGGAATCAATATGAAGTCAGTAGCAGTGGTTCTCTATGGGTCAGAAGGAAAACTGTTTTGTAGCACGCGTAACCATTTAAAAATACACACTCACACCTCTTTCCTCAGTAAGGGGGACCCCCCTCGAAGGAGAGCAAGGACAACCAATTAGCAGTAAGACCCCCGTGGGGCACAGGACTCCACAGGTCCTGCTCCATCACCCCTTGTTCCTAGAAGGGCGGCCACTGGAGGTGAATTATTTATTTTCAGATGGAGAATGGAAGCTTCCAGAAGGAGAGAGACTGGCCAATGGCCAAGGTCACCCAGCAGATAATAGGGAGTGGGGTGAACGAGGGTCACTGGCACTAACCCTGCATTGCCTTCTCCACGTAGGCTCCCCCATCCCCTAGGAACACATCTGTGGGACCTACAGAGCTGGCAGCAGGTGGTGGGAAGAGAGCAGGAGGCCTGGCCTCAGCTGGCACTGAGACCCTGGCCCCCTTTGAAGGCCCAGGGCAGCAGAGAGTTAATGGCCAATACCTTCTTGCTCCAGGAATAAAACCTGCCCCACAGAGCACTGGAGGAAATACTATTCCCAAGCCAAGGACTCAGTGCATGTGGTCCCTAAGAGCCCCAAGTCCCTGGGCAGAGACCAGGGATCTCTATGTGGCAGGAATCAATTCCACCTCCTGCTCCCCTCTTCTGGAAAGCCCCCAGGACTGCCACCCTGGGCAGCCCTCCATGGCAGGTGGCAGGTCCTGGAGACAAGGGTGTTCCCTGGGACTCAAACACCTACCCAGAATCACAGGGGCACTGTCCCCACATAAGAGCCTATGGTGCCCAGGAAGGCTAAAACCGGACGGCCAGGGCTCCCCTAGGGCTATTTGCCAAGGCTGGACCCTGCCTCCCACCTCCAAGTCAGGGCTGCAGCCTCTGCTCAGCATCAAGGACTCCTGGGCCTCCACCAACCCCGCCGTCTATTCCCCATCGGACTGAGGGGTGACCCTTGGCTCTGGGACCATCAAGTCAGGGCTGCTAGGTGTCTTCCCAGGGCCCGCCCCTCTTCTGGGATGCTCGGGGTTGATCTGTGGCTGGGCAAGCCCCAGGAAGATAGGAACAGCATCCACCCAGCTTCCTCTGTGAGTAGTGAGGTAACCTGAAGAAATCCTGAGTGCACGGGGCTGCGTCAGGGTAACTCAATCCACGAAGTGACGGGGTTGCCATGGGTAGGGACAGGTCCAGTTTCTGGGTAGGCAACAGCCCGGATGCTTCTTTACAGCCCTGCTCTAGTTCTCATCCACTGAGATACAGAACCACAGACTCAGCACCTCCGGACGTGGAGTCTCAGGCCCTGGGATGAGCCAAGATGCACCTTTCTGGGTGCCATGGCTGGGTTCCCTGGCCAGAGCCCTATTCAAGCACAGAGCTTGCTCACCTCCTCTGAGCTCCCCCAACTCCACCCAGAGGGGAGCTCTGAAAGGTGCCTGCTAGGAACTGTTCTTTTTTTTTTTTTTTTTTTGGTCCTGGGGATTGAATCCAGGGGTACTCAACCACTGAGCTCCACCACTTGAGAATCTCTAAACCTCTGGAATTATTTTCTTTGATCCCTAGTCAGCCCATTCAAGGACATGATATCCCTGATGTCCAGGCTGACCTCTGCGGCTGTAGCTAATTCTATTACCACCTTTCCCCAGTTTCACAAGCAAGAGTCACCGACTCCAGTCAGGCTGGTGCCTCCCCTGTCCCCCGCCCTCCCTCATGACTCTGTGTCTGCCTGTTCCTGGATTCAGCCTACTCCTCTCCTGGAGAGGAGCTGATTCTCCTGCAAAATCCCTAAAACACACCCTAGGACCTCCTACTCTAAGCCATGGGTCAGCAGGATCCCTGACAGGGACAACTCCCATCATCCCCTGTTGCTCCCCTGTGAAGGAGGCCCTGAGCTCCTCCTGATAGGAGTGGGCATGGGGTCAGGCCTCAGCACAGGGGAATTGTAGAGCATCCATCAGCTCTGACAGGCGCCTCCTCTGACAGGCAGGTGGACAGGCAGGCATCCCACTCATCTATCACATGGCCCAGGCCTGACTGATGGCCACAGAGAGCTCCAGGAACCTCGGGTGGCCACTTGCCCCCCAGGGAGAAGAGAAAGGGGCCCTTAATAATTTTTTCAACATAAAGTGTTCCTGTGATCAAAAAGCCTGAAAACCTGTAGACTAAGTGATCTCCAGGGCCTTGTCTTGCAGTTCTCTGAGCCCACCCCCTTGATCAGGGCTGTCCCAGCTCAGTTATCCTGGGGAAGGGAAGGAGGGCTGGTTTGAATATCCAGGTTTTGAGGCCCTCCTCCACCCCACTCCAAAGGGTACAAACTCCTTAGTCAGTCTCCCCTGATCTTGAGGAGCCACTGGCAACCCCCAGCAAATATCCAAGAGAGCCCCAGCTCCCCAGATCCTGGACAATGTGCTAAGCCTGTCACTGACCAGGCCTGGCCACCCAGTGGTGTCAAGGCACACAAAGGCACCTGAGCCTATAGTATAATCTGCCCTTCTTCCAGCCACAGAGCCCACCAGCAAGGCCTGGGAGGATGACCAGCCTCAGGCCAAGTGGCTACAGGCAGAGTCCCTGTCCTGTCCTAGGAGCCTGGGTCCCTGGGCAAGTGTTGGGCTGGAGTGGGCCATGGCGTACTCACGTAGATGAGGTGGTCCCTGTAGCGGATGAGCAGGTTGCGCAGGATACCCGCCTCGTTGAGGTCTCCCAGACGGATCATGTCCTCCACACCGTGGACTGAGGTGGGATGCATGGGCTTGATGTGTGTGGCGTTCTGCGGGGAGATCCAGTGTTCCTGCAGGAGGGACAGTCCCTGGGGTCAGCTCATTTGCCTGGGCCCAGGCTGCGTGCTGCTTAGGAAGAGGCCCTGGAGGAGCTGAAGCCTGGGGTCTGCGGGCCTGCTGTGGGAGTTGGGGGCAAACACCATCAGTTCTAACAGGTTTGAGTCTTAACATGCTACTGCCTGTCCCACTCCTTAAGGCAGCTCTTCTTCCGCTTAAGGGGTTATCTCTAGACCTAAGAGGTAAGCAGGACAGGGACTTTAGTCCCTCCAGACAGTTGTCATTAAAGGGATCAGATTCCCTCTGGTCGCTTTGCAGGACAGAGTGGAACGTGTAATAATTGGATTTATACAGACTTGGCTTCAAATCCAGACTCTGGTAAACAAATACATAAAAGTAATTTCAGATAGTGCCAACAATAAACTCAGAGGCACTTGTGATAGAGAACTGCAGAGGGAGCTACTTTAGATGGGGTGGTCATGAGCCACCTCAGGTGGCATTGAGCTAAGATCTGAGTGAAGACAAAGAGATCTCTGTAAAAAGATGGCAGGAGGGAATGTCAGGCCCGGGGAGCAGTAAAAACAGCACCTCAGAGGCTTGTGTAGGTGCAGCAGGTTCAAGGGAAAACCAGGGGGCAGGGCAGTAGCAGTGGCAATGACAGAAGTGGACCCACCGGGATATATTTCACCGGTCTTGCTGATGACCTATGTGGAGCAAGGGGAGAACTTTCCATTCCCGTGAGCAGGAGTGGAAACATGCAGGCTGCCTTCCGGGCTCTCCCCTGCAATACCCCACGATGCCAGGAAGTGGCAGACGGGTGCACCCAAGAGGCTCATCAGCTCTCTACAGTTTGCAAAAGGCTGGTTTCCCAGGGTGCTAGGAGCTGCCCTCCCTGGGGTCTCCAGCACATTGTCCTCACATTTACAGACCCTGCATGAAACAACAGCCTGACCTATGCTCTATGTGTGGCCACGGCCTGAGGAGAACCCTACAGACCTCCTATTCCATGGAACCACACAGGAACCTGACTACTGTGGGGAGAAGGAACCTCTCTGCCACCTCCCAACTGAGGTGACACATGTCATGTCTTACCCCACCTGCGCCTCCTCTGGCTCTTCTCTGGCATAACGAACCCCATTAGCTAGACATTAGAAGAAATCTGGGCATCACATCCCCGCCCCCCAGTCACCCAGTCCTGCCCATTCAACCCTCTAAACCCTCAAGCACCTGCAGCCCACACCCTGACCCACCTGGCCTGGGCCCACCTCTTGGGGCAGGGTGGTGGCCTGCTTGCGGCACTCAGAGGGATCAGGGCAGGGCCAGGCAGAGCCCACCCTGGCATTTCATGGCCCTTCCAGGGAAGGAGCATTTAACCTGAGTCAGGCCCTCAAGCAGCCTCCCAGAGTCACCAGGGGGCCAAGTGGTGAGGTCAGAGAATCCATCTGAACTTTCCAGTCCCCTGTGGAACATTCTTCTCCAGGCACCCTGTTTCTTGATAAAGGCTGATCCATTTGGAAAACTCCCTTTGCCTATCTTCTCTGCCTGACTTGGTCCCAGGCCTTGGAGTGGGCCAGAGGGAAAGGGCTCCTGGGCCAGCTCTCTGCCCCGCAGCATCTCCCCAGGACAGCTCAGCCAGAGGCCAAGAGCTCAGTCATGCGTGCCCTGGAGGTTCACGCACCTCACCCTCTGGAGCTTCTACCTCAAGTGGGAATAGGGATACGATGCCTTCTTCCTGGGGCTGTGGGGAGCACTGATGGACCTAATGGCCAGGCTTCTCCATGCAGAACTGGGCCTGGCAAGTGCTAGCACTGGGGATTAGCCCTCGAATGCTTTTTGTTTTATAAAGACACTGTGTGCTCCCTGTTCCTCACAACATCCTGTTGAGAATCACAGCCCCTGTTCTCCAGTGAAGAGTCAGAGTCCAGAGCCTGCGGTGTGGGAGGACGCCCTGCAGAGGCCCGCAGCCCTCAGCGCAAGGTCCACTGCCCCCACGGCTCTGGCCAAAGTGCAACCAGGTTACCATCAAGGCTGGGCCCTAAGGGAATGCCAGAGAGACAGAGACAGTGAAACAGAGACAGAGAGGGCCAGAGAGTAAGATGGTGACAGGGAGACGAGAGAGAGAGAGAGAGAGAGAGAGACTTAGGGAGACAGAGACACACAGAGAGAGGGGGAGAAAGAGAGAGAGCATGGGCAACTCCAAGGGTCAGGGTGAAGAGCTGGCCTGCGACTGAACTTGGAAGACAGGTATTCTGCAGAGGAGGGGAAGGAGCATGCACAAGCTACAGGAGTGGCTAGGAGAGAGGGGACCCTGGGGTTCCAGTGAGGACTGGACCCATAACCTGTCACACATTCTTCTCAAGAGCCTCCCCTGGGCACGTGCTCTGCTGGGCTCTGGGGAACCAAATGGGACTTGCAGGGTCCTTGTTTCCAAGTTGCTGGGGTCTGTGGGAGCACAAAGAAGTAAAGAACAATGGCTTATTGGGGGAGGGGGCACAGAAAGAAGGGTCCAGACCCCCTGAGACCCTGTGCCACTGAGGCAAACCCCAGCTCCCTAACCTGGCACCCCCTGCCAGCCAGCCGTGCCCCTCCCCCTCTTATGGCTCCCACTCAGGGCCTTGGTGGGGGAGGGGAAGAGGGGACCTTCAGGATCAGGTGACACAGGTTACGGGACACCATCTGACGGGCAACATGACCCAGGTGAAACTCAAGCCTGCAGAGTTCCAGTCCCCACCCTCAGGCTCAGGCGGGTTCAGGGCCCGTTTCCCTGACAGCAGAGCCGTGCTCCCTGCTGCTGTGACTACAGCCTCACTGTGGCTTCCTAGAGGAATGATGTTGGGACCCTCAGGTTCTAGAGCCCAGGGGACAAAAGCATGGTAAATAGAAACTGAGTCCAATCCTTGTCACTGTGGTGCTGGCAGGGGAAACGCAGGCATAGAGGCCTCCAGCAACGTCACTAGCTGTGCAATGAGGCAAGGGTCCCCCTCTGTGCCTCAGTTTCTCCATAGAACAGTCGCTGCCCACCCTGCCCTTCCCAGATGCCACAAGGACCCAAAGACAGAGCATGCATCAAAGGGCTCTGCAAACCCTGAGGGGTCGCCCTTGAAGACCTAAAGGGCAGCTGGGGTGGCCCTGCCCACTCCATGGATAGGACCTCCGTGGGCCTCCTGAGCCTCCATGAGCCTCCACTCCACGGATAGGACCCCCGAGCCTTCCTTTCCCCAGCGGAGCCTCCTGTTCCTCTTTGTCCTGACTGTCCCCCCTCAGGCTAGGAGGCTAAGCCAGTGTCTCAGGCAAAGCACTGGACACGATACAAGTTATCATAAGTCGAATTCCCCTGGGTCCTTCGTGTCCTTGCTAAGCTGCAACGGTGCACTCTGCACCCCATCTACATGTCCCCCATGCCACCTACACGTCCCCCAAGCCACCTACACACGCCGGCGCTGTACTTGTGCACACAGGCTCAGAGGCCCCGGGACGTCCCTGTGGGCTCCTGTATAGGTCACCCACCTTCTCCAGGGAAGGCCTGACTTCAGACCTGCCCCCTCCGCAAGGCCTCACTAGCACCGCCTATCACACTTCTATCTCTCGCGTCCCTTTCCTTCTGGGCCAGGAGAGGTAGAGGGTCGATCTGTTCGACGGATTCCCAGGGCAGCCTCAAGGAGGACAAGTTCACCTGGTGCCATGACCCGAGAGCAAGATTCTAGGCGTTTCCCCACCGACCGGAGCTGTCCTGAGGTGCTCTGCTGCGGCCTCACCATGGGCAGCTGCACTCGGACACATTCACTGTTACCCCATCTTACAGAGAGCACACTGAGGTTCAGAAGGGAAGGAGCTGTGACCAAGGTCGCACAGTAAATATGCATCGGGGTTCGAATCCAGTCTGTCTGACCTTGAAGCACCCCTGCCCCCCCGGGGGGCGTTTTCTGCCCCCACCCCTCACCCCAGTCCCCGGCAGAGAGGAGGGAAGAGCTGTGGAGATGGAAAGGGCAGCTGGGCAGGGGGAGTCCCCTCCTGCTGGAAAGGTGGAGAGCACTCCATGGGGTGGGTGCCTGAGAGGCAGAAGGGGGCACAGGCACTGCCTCTGTGCCCCATGACTACTTCGGGAAGTGGCTACTTCCCGGCCCCTGCCTCGGGACACTGATCAGCCTGTGTCGCATGGGCAGGTGGAGGGAGGGGCGACTCACGTTGCCTTCATCGTCCACCACCTGGATCTGCCCAGAGTCACAGAGCTTCACCACCGCCCCGATGGGCACGTCAAACTCCTGCCCGGATCTCAGGTCCATCCACACATAGTCCCCCTGGGGAGAGAGAGAATCCCAGGACGGCTGAGCAGGAGGCGAACCAGACAGCCCTTCCAGGATGCCCCCAAGCCCACACCCACCACCAGAAGAGGGAAGATTGGGAACCATGCCTGCTGGAAACGCCTGGTGCCAGGCCCTGGGCTGGAGCTTGGGTCGTGCCATCGCCTCTCCTCTGGGGCAGCCATTATTCTCCCCACTTCACCAAAGAATGAGCAGACGCTCAGAGAGGGAGAGCAGCACACAGCAGGGCTCTAGCCCTGGCCCGTCCAAAGCCCGGCTCCCCCTGGTTCTGCCTGCTACATGTGTATGAGGGACTGGGGGAGTTTAGGCACAAACACCAAGCCACCCAAGTACAACCTCTCTGTCCAAGGAGTGATGTCAGGGACCTAAGGCTGCAGGCCCCATCTCTCCAGGGTCAAGTCTCTCCATCCTAGTAACAGTTTCCTCTCAGTATACTCCCTGTGCCCAGCCTGGGATAAGAGACAGCCACATTGTCTTCTGGCTTGTGGGGAGAGCCCCAGCCTTGAGGGACACTGTGTCACTTTTGTGTCCCCTGCAGCTTCTAGCCTACGGCCTGGCTCTCAGCACATACTGAAGGCTCATAGAGGCCAAACAACCGCATTCAGCACTGATGTGTTTGACCGGCATGTGTCTCTCGAACACCTGCTGTGTCCAAGGCACTAACTGGCCTAACCTTGGGGGTGGCGCAGTGACAACGGAATCTACTTTCTAGTTGAAGAAGACAGAAAATAAATAACAGAGCACATTTATTAACATAGTCCCTTTGGACATTGGTGAGTGCTTCCCAGGGAGTTACCATGCCAACGGCAGAGTCAGACAGCCACCCTGAGCCTCAGGAGCCAATGAGGCCGCTCTGCAGAGGAAATCTTGGAGCTGAGATCTGAGAAGCAGGAGCCAAAGAAAGGGCAGGGGAGTCATCTGGAGGGAGGTGGGAAGGAACAGCAAGGAGGTGTTGCAACAGGGGCTGAGGAAGAGACGAAGGTCAGAGTGGACGGGGCCCAGAAACACAAAGGTCTTTGCTGACTTTGGGGTGAAAGGTTAGATTTTATTCTAATCCTAATAAAAGTACTCTTTTGGGGGGTGTTTTCTCAGGTGTGTGGGAGAACTTAGACATCCTAATAAAAATGTAACTTCATAACGAGCAGCAATTACAAACAACACTGATGAAACTGATTCTGGGTGACCCAGAGATGGCATGGCCCAGTGGGAACGGCTCCAGGCCAGGCTCTGCTGGCTGATCTCTGAGCCTCAGTCTTCTCATCCCTCTTTGAGTCCAAGGTCAGTTCACGACTCTTTCAGTCTCCTGATCCCATCAGAAATTTGCTTCTCTTGGACAGGAGTCAGGGCATGTTAGGGAAAGGCGAGTTCCAAACCCAAGCTTCTCAGAATGTCAGAGAGCATGGAGGGGCTCCCGAGCTGGGGAGACCTGTGTCTACGGGGCATCAGCTGCAGGACTGGGGCTCTGGGGCGCTTCCCAGAGCTGACCCTTCCATCCTCCAGGCCCTGAGCTTCCTACCCCACCAGCGACTGCTCCTCCCAAGGCTGCCTACCCCCACCTCTTCCTGCCCCACCCCTGCTGGGTCTCCTCCACCAGCTGCCCCGGCAGGCTGCTCTCCTGTCCAGGGCAGGGGACAGGCCCAGGCTGCAGAGAAATGAGTGGGAACCAGGGCAGGCCCCAGGTCACACAGGGCCCTGTGAGCCACAGACAGGAGTTGGACTTTCTTCTAATTTATGACAGAAGCCATGGGGAAATGTCAGGATAGGTTGACATTCAAAATCCCACCCTGGCTGCTGTGTGAGGAGTGGGGTAACCCCTGGGGCTCCACAGAGGGTGGGCTGGGCCTCTCCCACCCAGGGGAGGCTGGTCCAAGCCTCCCATTTGTGACTCCCCAGAGCCAAGCACAGCAGAAGCCTCAGAGCGGAGTGTGTGTGGAAGTGAGAGTGTGTGAGAATCAGGGAGAGTGGGGCCCGGGAGGAGGGAGAGCAGTCCGCCTGGCAGCAGCTGGATGCTCCCCTGGCCTTCGTGAATTGTCCTCACGCAGAGCACTCAGCCTCTACTTCATCTCTCAAGAGTCGAAAATGTGCCCAAATTCACACAGTGGCTCTGTGGCAGGGCCAGGACTGAGGCCCAGGCCCAAGAGACTCCAGACCCAGTGCTCCTTCCTGACATCCCCTGGGCCTAACCCTGAGCACAAGAAAAGGCACTAACAGGGTCCTTGGCCTTGGGTGACTCATGGGCCCAAAGGAAAGCTGACAACAGGTTGAGGACAGCTAAAGTAACCGGTGTCCCTTGGCCCAGCACACAGAAAAGATGGTTCCCACTGAAAGAACACAGGAAAATAATAATAATAATAATAATAATAATAATAATAATAGAATAACTGAAACAAGGGGCTAGGATTGTGGCTCAGCAGTAGAGCACTCGCCGCGCACGTCTGAGGCCCTGGGTTCGATCCTTAGCACCACATAAAAATAAATAAATAAAATAAGGGCACTGTGTCCAACTACAACTTTAAAATATATATAACTGAAACAAGCAGGAAATGGAGACTCCGAGAGGCTGAGCCAGGTACTCAGAGTCACACAGCAAGCACACAGCACCTTTGTGGGGAAAGGCCCCAGAAGAGCAGTGTCTGGTCCTCCTCATCTGGCCCCTGGTCAGCTCTTGAGTGATGTCCAGCCCAAGGAAGAACCACTGAGGCCTGGTGCCGGGGCCCCTGGGTTCCCCAGGACACTGAGCCACCAGATAGTTCAGAGATCACCCACAGTGGGCCAAGTGGGGCTCCTGTGTCCTGGCGTCCACACAGGACTGGACACCTAGACTCTTCTAACCTCAGGCTGTCACCAGAAGATTTCTGCTCCAGGTCAGAGCTTGAAGGAGAAATTTCAAACAGTAACTAAGAGGCTTCAGGGGGAATTCTGAGACCACAGGACATCTGGGGTGTGATCCCAGGGCAAGCCCTTGAATCAGCATGTAGCCAGGAAGTAAGGGTCCCCATTTTATAGATGAGGAAACTGAGGTCCAAAGAGAAAAGGGAACCTGGCTCAGACACTCATCAAACCAGTGAGATAAGCCTATTAGCCTCTGGAGAACAGAGCCTGAACCAAAAATAGGGTGGGAGGGAATCACTAATTGAGTGGGGGAAGGGAAGGAGGAAGACAGGAAAGAAAACCAAGTTTAACTGAGGGCAGGAAGGCAGCAAGGAAAGGGGACCTGGGCTCTAGGTCTAATCCCACAACCCTCCCATCCCTGTGGCCAGTGCCTGGGCCACCATGATCGCATCTGGTGCATGACTTCATGCACTGTGAGAGGCATCCCTCTAGGAACCTCACCTTGAAGTGAAATCCCATTTGTGACATGGCACATGCCTCAATGTGGCTAACTTGGGCCAAGTGCCAGCTTTCCTGATGTCAAAAGGATGGCTGAAGCAGAGAGCCCCCTAGGACCCCACCAGCTTTGCAGGATCTCAGTCCCCGAGTGATAACTTCCTAGAATGAGTCTAAATATTCTCAAGGGTACTCCAAAACCCAGTGGGGCCTACCCCTGGAAAAGCCAGCACACCGTCACAGTAGGTTCTAATTTCAGTTCTGCCACTGATGCTGTGACTTTGGGTAAGTCATTCAGTCTCTCTGGATCTCACTTTCATCAGACTTCAAATGGAAGGAACTGGTGAATGCAAAGAGAGGCTTGCAAACGCAGGCTGTCTTTGCTCCCCTCCTTCTCCCAGGCCAGTCTGGGATCAATATAAACTCCCACAGGGCCTTAGCACTTTCTGCCTTTCCCTCCTTCCGGGGCTTGGGGCTCAGTCCCTGTTTGCCAAATGTGGACACCTGAATGTGGACACCCAGCCCCCACCACATATCTCCCTTATCAGTCTGGGCCACTGGTTTTCTCAGCCCCATTTCACAGGTGGGACGGGAGATCTAAGTGTCTAGCCAGAGGCACCCATGAGTACAACACAGTGTCCAGTTGCTGACCTTTAAATAGAGGGGACCGGAAGGCTGGCAGTCAGCCAATGGGCAATCAGATGGCTAAGGTCCCTCTGTGCACCTGGGGACAGTCCCTGCTCTGGATCCCAGCAAAAGCTGGGAAATCTTTAGCCCATCTGGATCCCCCCACCCCCCACCTTCCTGGGTCACCAACTTTCCAGATGGCGCCCAGGGAGGCTGCCTTGGGCCGGGTTCCTGCTGGGGTCGCGGTGTCAGGGATCCCATGCAGCACCCTAGGGCTGTCGTCCTTCCTCACGCCCCGGGCTTTGTGACCCTACGCCTTCCCGGCTTCTGCCCCGCGGGAAACTGAGGCCGGGGCGCCCTCCCCGCCGGCCTGGGTCTCACCGGCAGGACAGCGAAGGTCTTGAGCGCCTGGTTCAGGTTGCGCACCAGCGCCCACTTGCCCGGCTGCGGGGCGCGCGCCTCTCCGGGGTCAGCGGGGCTGCCGGGGGCCTCCATGGCGCCGAGGGTCTGGTGGCGGCGGCACCGCTCGGGCTCCCTAATTCACCTAATCCCCTGCGCGCTGCCCGGGAACCCTAAACCGGGCCATCTGCCGCGGGCCCATGGCAACGGCGGCTTAGGTGACGCCCGCCCGCGGCGGGAACGGGGAGGGGGCGCTCGCCGCCCGGACCCCTCCCATCTCCGCGACCCTGGCACCTCCACCTGCCGGGCTTCCAGGTGGCTTCTCCAGGGCTGCAGAGCCTAGCCCTGGGGCCCCGGGGGACTTGGCACCTGGAACCGCACCCTCGCTGCAGTTTTGGAGAAAATCAGTATTTTTCCCCCTGCAGGGATGTTACTGAATAGAACTCAGACTAAAGGGAGGGTGGCCTGTGACTCGCTGGCTACCTCTGGAGACTGAAAACGGATAAAAATCAGTCTTCAGGGGGCACCTTTGTGGGGAAAGGCCCAGAAGAGCCAATGTCTGGTCCTCCTCACCTGGCCCCTGGTCAGCTCTTGAGTGATGTCCAGCCCAAGGAAGAGCCACT